AAACCGTATTATATTATGATTTTGGCACTCTATGAAACTGCCGCCTGGGGCACGGTTTTTGCCCCTAATCCTTTCCCCCCCCCCCCCCCCTCCTAGATCCGGGGCTGCTGTTAAGTAATTCCCGTTAATGTTATAAAAACGGTGTTAAGTAATTCTAACATTTATTTTCGTTAGACATGGCAATTATTGCTACTTTTAAATCAAATGAAATGATATTTATTTACAAAAATGGTCAAGTGCGTGCTGGTTTAGGGTTCCACAGTTAATTACTTTCTGTTTTAACTTTCTTTTGTGTAATATTTTTCTAGTACGTAAATTTTATAACTTGGTTGACTTAGCGAACTTAGATGTGATGTTTTTCCTTCCAAATTCATTATATATGTATAACAAACCAATCGTTTTGCTTGTAACTTCTGAAAAGCTAATATTTCGTTCCTCAAATACATACATTTTAGAATAGACGAGAAAATAATTGCACGAGACTAGCGACGCGTAGTTCCATTGTTTTGAGTTTTCACTTCTATCGGCGGTTCTTTATTTTAAATTATATCTAAGTAATGTTTCAATATGTTCACAGGTCGACTGGCTAGACCGATTGACATTCAGAGAAATAGAGATGATCAACGAAAAAGAGAAAAGAAACTCTGATTACATGTACCTCATGGTGGAGTTTCCAACGGTGTGGATTGGTGGCATCAATGTAAGTAAACTCAAACTCTCTTTATTTCATAAAATTTTCAAAATTGTTTGAAATCGTCTTTTATGTAGACTCTAAAGTCATAGATCAACACACACAAAAGCAACAATCTCTGTTTTGTCGAATAGTAAGCAAATAAATTTAACAAAAATCAAACCCATACAAAATCTATGATTTGCCTGTGCCGATCTACAACCGCCCGTTTCCAAGGGGTTGAGCCTTATGAGAAGAAAGGGCAAAACAAACTCATGGCCACTCTTTTGCATATATATAATCTTTGTATATATGTGTCTATCTATATATATAAGAACGTTAGGTTGGGTTACATTGTTGCACCGATTGAGCTCAAATTTAACTTGTAATAGTTAAATAGCTTCACACATCTCACACACGGCCGTGTGATCCCAAACTAGGCAGAGCCTGTACTATGGTAACCAGACAGCTGATAAACATACTTATATATTTCTAAATACATACATATTATAGATAAATTACACCTGTGTGGAAATCGAACTCACGACCTTCGGCTTAGAAGTCAGGGTCACTAACTACTAGACCAACAGGCCCACACGATATGCAAACCGCTAAAAGGATTGTTTTTATTTATTTTTCGCGTAAGTTTTGTTCCTCATGTCTCATCAATGTAACCGCATGTGCCACAGCGAAGCTTGGCATGTTTTATATAATTTATGGATATAAATTTAACTTTCTTCACCTATAGTTGGCGACGAATTTTAGGAAAGTCCTTTTGGCAAGTTGAAATTGTGAAAAAATATAATTTCGTCAATTGGCGAATCCAGTCCTGTGAGTCTGTGATAGTTTTTGCGGTTATTTCGTTACTGCAAACACTATCACTCCTAATAACATTTGAAAAAAAAAAACAAAAAATATTTTTTGGCAAGTTTTCTTTTTTTAATTCAATTTTATATAAAATTTATAAAAAAACCTCGACGATTTTGTCGGTTATAAAGTATTACTAGATTTCTTCAAAAATATTTTATTGAACACACACACACACTCACACACACACACACAGCCACACTCACACACACACACAGCCACACACACAGAAGATAGGTATATTAGTTTTTGCCGACGGCCTAGCCTATGTCTTTACTCAAAAATGAAACTATCTAAAGGCCGGCAACGCGTTTGTGACTCCTGAGTTGCAGACGTTCATGGGCGGCGATAGTCACTTTCCATCAGGTGACCCGTGTGCTCGACTGCCACCTCAAATATAAAAAAATATCTCCATACTCAAATTCACCTAAATCGGTTTAGCAGTTATTGATTTCCCATATAAACTTCCACCCCCTTTTCACCGCTTTAAAGGATGATTTCAATGATAAATCCTATGCCCCAGGACTCGAACTAGAGATAGTTTTTCAGACAGCAAATCCGCGGATCTAGATGAAATGGGTTATAGAGAATAACAAATTTCATATAGATCCGTTCAGCGGTTTAAGGGTGAAGAGAGAGGTAACAGACAGATAGACAGACATGCTTTCGCATTGATAACATTAATATGAATTGAAGGATGCTAACCACACTCACACGAACTCACATACACACACACATACACACACACACATACACATACACACACACACTTTCTTCATCTTTCTTCGTCCGAGCCGGCTTTAACTACTCGTAACGATTGCCACAGATATTCGTATGGCAACCGGGACCGGCACCCATCCACAGACTGACCTGGCTAGGATTTCGTAACTTTGCAATGTGTATATTATATATTTAAATGGCGAAATAAAACACCATAATATGATTATGGGCATGTTTTATGCTGTGTAAACCAGTTTGTTGTTTAATTATGTTAATCGTTAAAGTGCACAAGGTCGTGCCGGTTTTTATATATTAAAACATTTACTTGTACACAATGTTATCTCGTTCTTACACAATAGGTATTGAATATGGTAGGTAGGTGTGTAGGATTATCGGAACAGTCACTTAATCGCGGGCGTGTTGGTGTCTCGCGTTGTTTTTACATGGGGTCAAAGCTTAGTTGGCGGAATGTAAGTCATTAAAACTTATTTTTACTCGACTTCCAAAACAAGAAGTTCTCAATTTACTAACAAGAAAACTGTGTGTTGATATTTATTTACAACTTTATGCACTTATGTACAACGGCGGGCTTAATGCCCAAGGCATTCTCTACCAGCCAAGCTTTGGGGGGTGTAGAAATCTGGTGAGGTAGATGCACTGAGGTTACAGTTGCTATAGCAGTTATAACTAACATATACAATTACACACATACATAAACACAAACATACACATATACATATATATATATATAAATACACATAAAATACATATACTTTATATTCGTACACTGTAAATATGGAGGTGTACTATTGAGTAGGTAATTCCGCCATCTGAAGAAGGTAGTTCCGTACATTCTTTTTAAATGTGAAACGGTTTGTGGACATCCTGATCTCAAGTGCGAGCGCATTCCAAAGTTGTACTGCTTGCATAAAGAATGAAGAGTTCACAAACTCAGAATTGTGGGAGGGACAAAGGAAAAGCAAATTATTTGTTGAGCGAAGATTTCTATCGTATATTTGTCACGTACAAGATACAATTCAACATTTATAGTATCTGTAAAACTTCCACCATTCGGATTCTATCTAAGCAATTATACAACCAAGCGTGGAATACACAACAATGTGACTTGACATTATTTCATAAAAGTAAACTTGCCCCATCTGTATGAAAACAAAAGTGTGTTGAGGTGTAGCCCTGCCATAGTCGATTTCCTAATTTATAGACGTATCAATTAAATGTTATTTTCTTGTTATTGCAGTACCAATGAATATATTAAATGTCCCACAAATATATCTTCCCGGCCACAAGCAATTCCCTTTTAGCAAGATACATTTCATCAACAGCCTTTACTAGTCCACTGGACTTAAGCTTCTCCTTAGAAAGGAGGTTTTAGACTACTATACCACACTGGCCAGACGGGTTGGTATAGGGTTTGTTTCAAGTTTTTTTTCTCTTTGCAGTGCTGTTGTCCTGCGTAGTTTACTCCCTTAGTCGGCTCTTACGACACCCACGGGATGAATAGGGGTGGTGACACTCTGTATTCTTAATCCGTCACCAAACGGATACATTCAGATACATTTGTGGTACATTTAATCTATTCATTATTACTGCAAGAACAATAAAATAACATTTAATTGATACGTCTTTAAATTACAAACTCGACTGTGGCCGGGATGCGCCTCAACACGCAAAGAAAAAGCTGTTTAATCATATCATCTGCAGTGCTGCTATTCTCTAAGGAAACACCCTTGCGTACAGCGGCGTCGAACTTCAAACTAAGTAGTTTGAATGTCAACGCTGTGACAGCGCTGTAGCGTAGAATTACAAACCAATCGAAGAAGTGGCAGCGCTGTATGCAAGGCTGTTTCCAATTCTTTTTTTCAATAATCAATTCTGTTAAGCAATTTTTCGTTACTTTTAAACTAACGAACTTAAGTTTGAGTTGCGGCAACCTCCTTCCCACCCCTGCCAGCCACCCATGAGTAGAGGGAGAGAACTCAAAGGCTAGCAACGCACTTGTGACTCTTAAGTTACAGGTGTCCATGGGTGACGGTTGTCACTTACCATCAGGTGACTCGTTTGACCCCCCTCCCCCTTCCCCCAAGCAATAAAAAAACGGAATGTTTGATTTTAGTAATAACAGACCGGGCGGTGTCTTTAATGGAATACTCGTAAATGTCAACAAACAAAACCAGTAGAGGCTTTCAATATACTCGTATGTACATATATAAATATGTTGAGTTAGTTTAGAGATTGTATTTATCTATTGTCCGCATCAGTATTGATACTCATTTCTCATAATCACAACCACAATGACGTGTAAAGCGTGGCAGGGTACATTTTAGAATAAAAATTCAAAGCATTACATGCTCAAATTAACAGTCTTTGATAGTCCAATGCTGCACATAGGCCTCTCCTTAGAAAGGAGGTTTTAATATTCCAAACAATGTAGTAAAAAAAAATATTACTGAGAATATTTTTTTTTTAAAGACTACTCCCGCATTAGGAATATATCCTGTGTCGCGGGGGACTTTACAAATATACATGAAACGGACACAAAGAACATCCAGACTCAGAACAACATTTTGTGGATCACACAAAGTGTCGTCCCATGTGGGGTTTGAACCCACCACACTCAGTGTAGTAAGAAGCGGCGTGGCGACCGCTTAAACCACTACGCCATCCGTGCAGTCAATATATATATATATAGTGTGTTGATATTTTGAAGTCTTATTGTTTACAGCATGCTGTTGTATACTACGAAGAGGATGGTGATGAAGTATACCAGTTCAAAGCTCAAGCAGACATCGTGACAGTACCAGACTATGAAATTTTACAAGTATGTACCCTTTTATCCTTTACTTTACATATCATTAACAGCCTACAACAGTCCACTGCTGAACATAGGCCTCACCTTAGAAAGGAGGGTTTGGCCTACTATACCACGCTGGCCAGACGGGTTGGTATAGGGTTTGTGTCAAGTTTTCCTTTTTTTTGCAGTGCTGGTGTTCTGCGTTGTTTTGTGCCCTTAGTCGGCTCTTACGACACCCACGGGATGAATAGGGGTAGTGACATTCCGTATTCTTAATCCGTCACCACTCGGACTTACATATACCTTTTACCTTATTTTATTCCTAATTGCCTTTAAATATTTACACTTTATTTGAAGGAAATTTTGATGGTTTAATTTATAAATTTATGAAGCTTACTAAGAGCATTCGGCAGATACATTAACTAATGATTTCTTTAATGTTATGGGAATCAAAAATATCTTATCTATCACCCATAATATTAAATAATTATAAAAATTGCTAGACGTATTTTATACACGGCCATCTTATCCAAAATTAGGCAGAGCCACCAACTTGCTGAAAAACATACTTGTACATATACAACGATACGACCTTCAAACCTTCAAGAAAATAGCGTACTCCTTCCTATAAGGCCGGCAACGCGTTTGTGACTCCTTAGTTACAGACCTTCATGGGCGGAGATGGTCACTTTCCATCAGGTGACTCGTCTGCCCCATCTAACATAAAAAACAAAAAATATATAAATTAATTACATTAAAATTATAGATAAATTAGATACAGCACAAATGATTATGCTCAGCACGCAATCATTTGTCTTGAATAGAAGTCGCTTCTTGCGTACAGCTGGCTCAGCAATCAAGGTTACAGAGCATCAGTTTGGTCAAATACACTTTTAGCCAACGAAAGACGCTGAATAACTGAGGGCTTAGTGTGAGTTCATATCGAATTTACTCGATCGTCACGGTGATCGCCTTCGGTGGTGCTGTTGGGTCGCACTGAACTCTTTATCGATCGCAACGCTAAGCGCTGTCACCGTGACGAGTTGATGTGAACTAAACTTTTACTAAGTCCCTTGATCATAATATTTCTTTTTTTGTTCTGGGTGTAAAACGACCGGACTTTTGGATCAGCGGTTAGAGCCACTACACCGTTAGACTGATAACCCAGTCGTGAGTGAATTATATTTTGTATCTGTCCAGGAGAACCTAGTGGAGAGCAAGCACCACCGCCTGGCGCGGTCGCTGCGCTCGGGCGTGGGGGGGCGCGACGCCAAGCCCACCGCCGCCGAGCGCGACCAGCTCGCCGCGCTCGTGGCCGCGCCGCCCGCGCGCCCGCTCACCGCCACCGACCAGGACCTCATCTGGAAGTACCGGTCAGTGCGGAAGGACTATTGTTATTTTGTTTAATGACATTCTTCTTTGTACAGAAAATAATTAATAATAATAATAACCTCACACATCACTCACACGGCGGTCTGATTCCAAACTAGGCAGAGCCTGTACTGTGGTAACCAGACTGCTGATAAACATACTTCTATATTTCTAAATACATACATGTTATAGATAATTTTTCCCAAACACAGAACTAACGATCGTGCTCATCACACAAATATTTTTCCTGGGTGGGAATCGAACCCACGACTAACCACTAAACCAACAAGCCCACATTACCCCTGTTTTAGCATTTCACCAATACTTACTTATTTTTATAGCACAACAATCTTTATCCGACTATTTTTTTTTTTTTTTCAATAAATCACCGGAAAATTACCAAATACCAAAATAGTTTAAGTAAAAAATATATATGCTGAAGTCTATATTTATTTCTTACAGATATTACTTATCATCACACAAGAGGGCGCTTACAAAGTTCTTAGAATGCGTTAACTGGAACCGACCAAGTGAGTACACACTACAAAAAAACATATTTTATGTATAATTTATGTATTAATATTTTTACTACTACTGTCGGAAAAATAAACAGTATAATATACATTAAAATCAAATATACGAGACTTTGTACTATTTAGTTGACCTTGATAATTTTAAATAATAGAAAATAAAAAAAGTTTAAAAGCACAAAGCTACGTTAATCATAATTGTAGGTTAATAATAATAAAAAAATAGTTAATAATTTAGGAATTGAGTTTTCTACGTACTTATATGTATATACACATATATTTGTATAAAAAAAAAAGATTTGTAAAGAAAAATTCGGAACCTAATCAACAATACATATACATTTTTCGCGTTCGGGTTAATTACCCTTTAAGCTAACTATTATAAATTTTAATAGACTATGTAACAATGTTATCGAAATTACCGTAACTAAATAAAACCCATAACTAACAAACATAATTAGTGCAGCTACTTCTCTGATTTAAACATTTACAAATTTTCATCCGTTTTTTCTTACTAGTTAAGAGCGATAGACAGAGATGATACAACATAAAAAATATGAATATTCAAAAAAAATCGTAAGTAAATAATTTAAAAAAATGGGGGTAAACTATTCTCGTAGTTTTTTGTACAAAAAACTTTCATTAAAATCGGTTGAGCCGTTTCGGAGAAGTGTGACCACAAACATAGTGACACCAGATATATATATTAGACTAGCTGACCCGCGCAACTTCGTCTGCGTCTCTCAATAGTAATAAATTTTCTCCGTTTTTGAAACATTTTTCATTGGTGCTCCGCTCCTATTGGTCTTAGCGTGATGATATATAGCCTATAGCCTTCCTCGATAAATGGGCTATCTAACACTGAAAGAATTGTTCAAATCGGACCAGTAGTTCCTGAGATTAGCGCGTTCAAACAAACAAACAAACAAACAAACTCTTCAGCTTTATAATATTAGTATAGATAAAATTATTGTTACTGTTGTGAGTATTGCCCTCACTGACCGCGCTATTCCATTGCAGGTGAAGTGCGCCAAGCGCTGACCATGGTGGAGCAGTGGGCGCCCATGGACGTGGAGGACGCGCTCGAACTGCTCACCCCCAAGTTCACACACCCTGCTGTCAGAAAGTAAGCGTCTTGATTATATACTGTGATTTTATTTAACGTCACGGTGATTATTTCAGTTCTAGCCAATCGCAACACCAAACGCGGTCGCCGTCGAAAGTGAGTGAGTGAAGATGTGAACTAAACTAGCACTGGGCCCTCAGCTACTACACGCAGCTTGAAATAATAATAACTTTGAAAATGACGACCTTATATACAACCGTTCATTCCTTAATTTACCCCCTTAGGGGTGTAATTCCAGAAATCCCTTCTTAATGCGTGCTTACAAGACACATAGCATTAGTTTATTTATTATTTATTGTACACACTGAACACATACATATGTATATCTGCGCCCCACATAAAGCTAAATATAGCCTCATGTTCAAAAAAAAATTTCAAAATAAGAAGGAAAACTTGAAACTTTTTTTTTTTTTACGTGTGGAAATCCCCTCGGACCGTCACCCCACCGGGGTTTGCGGCGGGGTGGTGTGTCGGACTCGGACCGACTAAAACCACACGGTGTGCCACTCTGCGCCTGTAACAGGAGGGATCCGGGAACTGCTGTCATTAACACATCCGGACCAACCGTTCATTCCCTATTTTAACCCCTTAGGGGTGAAATTCCAAAAATCCTTTCTTAACGCGTGCTTACAACACACATAGTATTAGTTGTCAAAACTTCAAGTCTGTAACCCCAGTGGTTTAGGTTCTACGTTGATTAATCAATCAGGCAGGGCAAGTCATTTTTAACCGACTTCAAAAAAAGGAGGAGGTTCTTTTTTTTTATGTTTGTTACCTCAGAACTTTTGACTAGGTGAACCGATTTTGATGATTCTTTTTTAAATGCATAGATTTCTATTTCATCTTAATTTGGTGCAATTTGTATCATTGCTAAGAGTTTTGTCTAGTTTGTTATATGAAAAAAATGATAAATTCGTGTAAAAAAATTGACAGCGGTAGAGAGGTCTTAAGAGATACCTCAAGCCTCGGATGAGATAGAAGAATGAGACTGCATTAGGCTTGAGTAGCCGGGCTCGCTTACCTATTTGTCCGTCTATGAACAGCATTAGGACATCTTTATGATTATTATCTTTATATATATAATTCTTCTGTGAGTGTGTATGTCACTGAACTTAGATAGATAGATAGATAGATAACTCTTTATTGTACAAAAAAAAACATAATAAAAAGAAGAAATCAGTTTGTATACATAGTGTGTCTTATATCTAAACTTAAATTAATGTAACATGGAGAGTAAAATGTTAAAATTTGTACAATTGGCGGCCTTATCGCGTTTTGCGATCTCTTCCAGGCAACCACTGGATGGAGAAGGAGAATAGGAGTGAGATAGGGGGTTGCAGTTTGTAGATCGGAGTTTTTTGTAAATTAAGACTATTTGATTATACAAACTAATTCAAACATATACACTAAACACATACACACATCACAACACAATAAATTTATTACACAAAATATACATTTAACAGAGACTATAGAAGTAAGAGAGATAAATAAAAGATTTCTGACTGAGTGAAGGGACCCTCGCTTAGCAGCTTCGGAAATGCTCCTTCAGCAACCTTTTGAAACAGGGCAGTGTTTTTGCTCGTCTGATGGGCAGTGGCAATGCATTCCACAAGCGTATAGACTGCACTGTAAATGACTTGTCCATAAAAGTCGAGGTGTGCTTCGGCATTTCCAAAGTCAAGCTCTCTGACGATCTTAAGGACTTTGAATGCGTATCACGTAGGAATCTGAAGCGTTCCTTTAAATAAAGGGGAGTGTTGGGATTAAAGAGAATATTGTATAATAGTGAAAGGATATGAATATTCCGGGGAAGACGAATGGGTAACCAGTTAAGCTTATTCCGAAATTCAGAAATATGGTCAAATTTGCGCAATCCAAAGATGAACCTTATGCAAAAGTTTTGGAGCCGCTCAACCTTATTAAGTTGGTCTTCGGTGAGATCGGGATAGCTGGTATCTGCGTAGTCAAGGATTGGGAGAAGAAGGGATTCTGCAAGCGCAATTTTGGTCGTAATTGGTAAAAAGTTACGCAGCCTTCTCAGAGATCCAACAGAAGCAAACAGTTTCCTACTGACTTCTTGTAGTTGCGGACCCCAGGACAAGTTTTTATCGAGGTGAATTCCCAGATTTTTAATGGTGTTCGAGATCGGAACTAAGGCCCCATCGCAGTATATTTGGGGCTGATGTGACCAATCGACTTTTGATAATGTCCTAGTGCCACCGATAATGATTGTTTGAGTTTTAGATGGATTCACTATTAACCCGTGTTGCCTGCTCCACGTACAAATCTGCTCTATATCCCGGTTAATAATCGAGATCGCTGCTCCTAGTTGTTCCACGGGTGCTTGAGCATAGATCTGCAAATCATCTGCATAAAGGTGGTAAGATGAAGCTAAGTTATTGGAAATAGAGTTTATAAAAACCGCGAAGAGCAAGGGAGATAAAACGCCACCCTGTGGTACGCCAGCAGTTGTAGTGCACCAACCAGAGAGTCTTTCATCGATTCGAATACGCTGCCGACGCCCGAACAGGTAGTTACGAAACCAGTCAACAACCGTCGGAGATATGTTAAGAGAGCACATTATGGCAAGCAAGACGTCAAAGTCAACAGTGTTGAAGGCGTTACTAAAGTCTAGCAGCGCCAGCACAGTTAGCTTGCCATCCTCAAAGCCTGACCGTATATCGTCCGTGATATGAACCAGTGCGGTGGTGGTGCTATGTCCAGGACGAAAACCAGATTGGAGGGAATTTAGAAGGGAATTTTTATAAAGATAGGGATTAATTTGATTGTAGACAAGACGTTCGAGAGTTTTAGATAGGAAGGGTAGAATAGAAATCGGACGATAATCGGAGAAACTGGATGGATTTGATTTCTTAGGTAATGGAGTTACTAATGCTTCTTTCCAAGCAGTTGGAAAGTTTCCGGTTGCCATGGAGAAGTTAAATAAGTGAACAAGGACAGGAATGATTTCTTCTAGGATAGGCAGGATCATATCACGGCTGATACCATCGCTACCAACTGCGTTGGAGTTAATAGAGAGTATGCTCTTCCTAACATCACAATCGGAAAATTGACTAAAGACAAATGTAGGAGAGTCTAGAGTTGGGAGAGAAGAAAGATATTGTATCGTGTTATTTTTTGTTGTCCCGTCAAAAGGAGACGACGTGGAGAAGTGTTGATTCATCAATTCGATATTTACGTTTTTGGAGGCCGTATGTTGCCGTGACTTCCCAACTCCTAGTGATCGAAGAAACTGCCAGACCTTGGCCGGATCCCCATGTTCAACAGAGGCATGGATAAATTGGCGTTGTGCATTCCTACACACCTTGTTGCAGCGATTCCGAATTGCGACGTATTTCTCCCAAATTGTACTAGTTGGACAGCGCTTAAATCGGGACTTAGCTGCGGATTTTTTAGACAGGAGGAGTTTTATATCTGCAGTAAGCCAAGGAGATGGCAGATGCTTAACTTTTATTTTGCGCAGTGGAGCGTGTATGTTGTATAGACTGATCAGAGTATTATTGAAAAAGTCTACTTTTTGGTCAATGGAACCCAATTCATATAAACGACCCCAGTCAATACTGCTTGCATCCATGCAGAGCTTGGTTACATTTATGGCTTTAAAATTGCGTTGCAGGAGGATTGTAGGTTTCATTTTTGGTGTGCGGATTTTATAGGATAGAAAAAGAAGATTGTGGTATGAAAAAGCATCCGCAGAAAATTGGCCGTGACAGGCTGCACGTTCAGATGACGAAACAGCGATGATGTCAATGAGTGAGGGGGTACAGTTTGGGAAGTGATGTGTGGCACTCAGAGGAAGAATGGAGAGATTGTTCGATTCTAATGTGTCACGAAAGGAGGAGGACCGGAAATCACTTTTAAGAAGACAAGTGTTAAAGTCGCCCGCGAGGATGGTATGACTATAGGAAGGAGTGAAGGATTCTAAGAGATTATCTAGGGAAGAGAAGAAGTCAATGCGGGAAGAGGGACAGTAATAAGTACAGAGTAGTATTTTGTTATGATGGAGTTCAACCTCCAGGAAGAGGTGCTCGCCAGCATTCGGAGGCGGTGGTTGTGTAGACATACTCACAATAGAATGTTGAATATGCGCTCTGAGATAGATGGCTACACCACCACCGCCGCCCCACGTGCGGTCATTCCGAATGAGTTGAAAGCCAGGTAATGAGTAGGAGGCTGAGAGGAGGAGAACTTCTCTCAAACGACTGGACCGATTTTGATGAAATTTTTTGTGTGTGTTCAAGGGGATCTGGGAATGGTTTAAATTCACAATTTTGTCCACTGGACAATGTTTTTTTAATTAATTTTTAATTTATTAGTAGTTGTTGATTTTGGAATGTTTTACATTGGATCAGACAGACGGCGCTACCATCGCAGTGTCAAATTTGACAGGACAACGTCTGTCGGGTCCGCTAGTAATTATATAAATATCTGTGTGGTGACGGCTTAAGAATACGAAGTGTCAGCCGACTAAGAGGACAAATTATGTACTGCAAAGAGAAGGAAAACTTGACACAAACCTTATACCAACCCGTCTGGCTAGCGTGGTATAATAGTCCAAAACCTCCTTTCTAAGGAGAGGCCTATGTCCAGCAGTGGACTATGTACTACTAAAGGCTGTTGATGATGATGAATATATAATATGAATAAAGTATTTAAAATATTTATAGAAAACCTTAATTTATCAAAAAACATACATACACTCACGACTTATATCACCAAAGGGTTTGGTTTAGGAGTCAGGATTGCCAACCACCAGGGTATCAATTCTGCTATTTTACGTTAACGTACAAGCCAATGACGACCGGATGGTGGTTTGTGTAACGGACTGCTATTCCAAAGGTCGCGAGTTCGATTCCCGCTCAAGTCAAACATTTGTGTGAATTTAATGTTTGATTTGGTCTGGGTGTTTCTATGTGTAATATGTATGTATTTACAAAATATATATATACACGGTGATTTTGAAAGCGTTTTGGAAACGAAATATTTGAATTTGGAATCATCTATAGTACCAATAAAAATGATTAAATCAATTGTAATGTTGTCTAAAAAAAAGTTTCAGTTTTAATATTCATTTTTACTCGATCGACTTGGAAAGTAGTAATGGACTGATCGTTCATTCATTATCTTATATGAATGAAACACGTCCGTGGGCGTTTCGGCGGCCGCTGCGCACCGCCGACGCTAACAGCAGCTGACAAAACTATACCTATAGGCGCGAGCCAGCGAGTACTTACGTAGATAGACTCCAAATTTGTCCTTCATACTTTACACGGGCTTAGGACCGTCAGAAATACCTATTTTATTTAAACTTCTTTTCGATTATTAACCACGATTGTTCTTTTCACAACAAATCAATTTATCAACGGACTGTAGGTATAAATATTTCAGGCGTATTTAAAAAATCGGAGCTATCTACAGAATAATTAACTTACATACCTATTTACACTATTTACAGTTCTCTGTATCGAAGGAACTGCTCAAAATGGAGTCCGCTGCATTCAATACACAAACGTCCACGTTTAATGCCATTGTTTTTTAATTTTCTTAATGTGTCTCTATCACTTTTCACTTTAAAGCGTCCACTATCGCAATGCGTAAATTATCACGGCTTTCATATTCCCGTGTATTAACAAGTCTTTTTATTTCCGACCATAAGAAAAAATCCAGGGGCGTTAAGTCCGATCACTAAGCTCATTGTCCAGGTATGCACGCACTACACTCCGGCGAATAATAATTAAAACGTCCTTGACCTTGCGCATGAGTAGGCGCACGAAATTGTCCGTGGTCGAGAAGACGTTGGGTTGCAGCCAAGATGGTAGGTGTGGAGGGAATTTGAGGGCTTTCAATTCCACGTAGCCGTAGTGCATTTAAATGCTCCGGCTTGGGAATACAAACGCCGAGCCTCTTCCAAGTTGTAGTTGGCAGTAGCGTACAGCTGTACCATTGCCAAGAAGTATTCCACGTTTGAAAATTCGTACTGTCGACTCATTTTAGCGCTAATCAATGCAGCGTGCCGTCACGATGTTATGGTATTACTGACCGACTGACGATGACAGGTGAGCCCCGCGCATGCGCCTACGGGGCAGACGTCATTGGTTGGACGACTCCGGCGCAACTCGGTAGCTTTGTTTTTATTGGCGAATACGATTTGATGTGACTCGATATTAAAACGCATAGTATTTCTATTCGTAGTATTTACCTACGTGTGATTGAATAGCCTACTACTACTGGTTCTGACTTTTTCTCTGTAAACGATATGAATATCGACTTTGATGATAAAAAAAAATATATTTTATTAAATTAACGTTATATATAGCTTCTGTTACTGATAAATAACTCAAAATTTTCTTTTCCAAAACGCTTTCAAAATCACCGTGTATATATGTATTTATATCAGTTGTCTAGTAGCCATAGTACAAGCTCTGCTTAGTTTGGGACTAGATGGCGTTGTGTAAATGTGGTTGAATATTATTATTATAAATGTCATTCCATTTACACGCTGTTGAGATGTCATTACAAGCGATCAAAATATCGGTTTTTTACTAACATAAATGTCAATAGACTGTCGATAAAGTGGCAATGGTGACATAAACGACATTGCCATGTCTGGAAAATTTAATATTACAAAGATATCGACGACATTCGTATCAGTGGCAGTTCAGTAATAAGTCATTGGGCCATTGATCTCACATAGTTAGTAGAATACGAGAAGTGCAAAACTATTCCGACGACATTCCGTCGATAGTCCATTGATACAATATTAAAATAGCAGAATTGAGGCCCTAACCATCCACTGTGCACAATAAAATGCTTGTTATAATTTTATTTGCAACGAGTTTTCATAAACAATAGTAAACATTGCGTAATAATAATAATAATAATATATTCTACCACATACACACAACGCCATCTAGTCCCAAACCAAGCAGAGCTTGTACTATGGGTACTAGACAACTGATATAAATACAAATATACTTTTTTTTTGTAAATACATACATATTACACATAGAAAAACCCAGACCAAATCAAACATCAAATGTTCATGCACACAAATGTTTGACCTGAGCGGGAATCGAATGTGTTGACAGATACGCAATTTCACGGCTGAAGCAAGCTCCTGATGATGACCTACTGCTGTACCTGCTGCAGCTGGTCCAAGCCCTCAAGTACGAAGACTTCGCGGAAATACATGAAGGTATGTACTCCATCACTGTTCGTGCTTAATACGAGAGAAGAAGAAACTTTATTAGAATTTCTAATAATAACCTCACACATCTCACACAGAGCCGATCTCAAACTATACAGAGCCTGTGCTATGGTAAAAGTTACCATTTTCTTTTAACGTGTGGAAACCCCCTCGGGCCGTCACCCCACCGGGGTTTGCGGTTTAAATTCAAAATATTTATTTTTTGCAGAAAACACTGTTAAAATGTTGTTAGAAAATTACATGTTTCAAGTGCTTCTACCGTAAGGCATTCAAGATTAAACAGTTGTAGATATTAAATTAATGCAATGTCCTTCTTAGAGTTATAGTAATACAATACACATACAGTAAATTATTTACTTATCATTATTTCATTAATTACTTTTCGGTGCGTGGTGTGTGGGAATCGAACCGACTAAAACCACACGTTCTGCCACTTCGCGCCTGAGATAGGAGGGGTCCGGGAACTGCTGATACTACGTCATACGGACCCCTCGCAATTTTAATAGTTACCATAACACAGGCTCTGCTAAATGACTGCTGATAAAAAAAAAAAAATTCCTTCTAATACACATAAATTGTTACGAAATATCGCGAACATTCGAAAACAGAAAGAGAGAGTTAATTTAACTGCGCAATACCGCGAATCGTAGTTCTAATAATAATGCAGGGTGACACGGAACAATGAGCTTTATAACAATTCGCGTAAGATCAGAAATAGATTGTGACGTGATCTTGTTCACATTGAAAACGGCCCCTTTACAGTTTTTTTTAATTTTATAGAATAGTTTATTAATAGTAGTAGTATTAATAGTTTCTAGTGCTCTAGCGAGTAGTATAAATACAGGCACGTGTTTGCCGGTAGTTTAGTTTGGGTTACAGTGCGATAAACATCAAAGCGAAGAGATCAAAGCGAACAGAAGAGTAACCCAGCGATCTCGGCGATCATGCTGAATTATTTTTAATTGATTTTATTTTGAATTATTATTAAGTACTTAAAAACGTACTAATAAGAAGAAATGTCATTACAAATAAGCGGCGGTAGCCTAGTGGTTAAGGCATTGGACTTGCGATCAAGAGGTCGTGGGTTCAAATCCTGACTAATGACATGAACCCACCCCTAACACAAGTAATTTAGCTTAGCTGTAGGGATTAACGGGACTACTAGTAATTTCAGTTGCTAGTAAAACTTAAAAAAAAACGGACCCTAACCATAACAATATTATAGATAAATTACACCCAGGCACAGAAGAAATTAATGTGTTCATCACATAATTATTTGTCCTGGGTTGGAATAGAACCCACGACCTTTTTCTTCCATTGGTTTTAACCTAAAGTTGATAAATTATTATTTTTTGCCACAGAATATGCTCGGGTTTGTGGAAAGGAGGCTATACCTCTCGATCTGGAGAGCAAAGACAATCGACCAATACAGAGTGGACATCGAGGCAGCCAGGCCAGTCTAATGGCCACTACAGGTAACACTCAAAATATATTTGGACTATATCACAACTCTGATAAGAAGCTTTATTCCTGTTAAGTAACATACTTGGGCAGTAATGTTTTAAAAGTTGTCTATGGTCGGTGATTGGCGTAACACCGAACGCGGTCAGCGTGACGATCGAGTAGAAGTGAAATAAACTTACACTGTAATTCGAATTCAAAATTATACACTAGCTGACCCTGCAAACGTTGTTTTGCCAAAAATTTTTTTTTTAATTTTCAACGCCCCCGCACAGCCCTCTGGGGGTAGAATTTCGTAAGATCCGTTCTTAGCTGACATCTACTCTGTGAAAAGAATATTCCTACCAAATTTCAAGTCTTTAGCTCTAATGGTTCCAGAGATATCGTGATGAGTGACTATATACGTGAAAATCTCTTATATATATATATATAGATAAATTACACAAAGAGATAAAACGAATGATCGTACTTATTATGCAATTATTTTTCTTAGATGGGTATCAAACCCATGATCTCTTACTCGGCAATAATTAACAAGTCGACTCGACTGCACGGATGTCGTAGTGTTTTAAGTGGTCGCCACGCCTCTCACTACTACGCTGAGTGCTATGGGTCCGATCCCCACATGGGACGACACTTTGTGTGATCCACAAATTGTTGTTCTGAATCTGGGTGTTCTTTGTGTCCGTTTCATGTATGTTTGTAAAGTCCCCAGGACACAGGATTTATTCCTAATGCGGGAGTTGTCTTTTTAAAAAAAAAAAAAAGAAAAAAAAAAAATTATTCGTCCTGGTAAGAAATCGAACCCACAATCTACGGCTTATAAACCACTAGACCATGAGTGCTGTTAAAATATTTCTACTTTATCTATAAAGGTATTATATATCGTGTGATATTGTTGTGTTAACTGTTCGGTGTGGTTCCAGCGCCGTCGACAAGTGACATGGCGTGTGCGTCCACGAGTCGGGACGAGCCGCCCGCGGACGACAACAGCACCAGCGCCGCCAATAACAATGCTGCTGCTGCCAACAACAATGGGTATGGCTCTTATCTTTAACTAACTTTTGCCCGCGACTCCGCGTGTATGTTCCCCACAATTCAAACTATATCCATACCAAATTTCAACTAAATCGGTTTAGTCGTTATTGATTCCCCATACAAACTACCACCTACCTTTTAGAATGATTTCTGGGATAAAAACTATCCTGGCCTTTCTCGGGACTCAACCTATCTCTATACCAAATTTCATCTAAATCTATCCGGCCGTTTAAGCGTGAAGAGGTGACAGAGAGACACACTTTCGCATTTAAAATATTAGTATGGATTCATTAAAATAAAATTATATACCGATTCCCATGTACACCTGCAACTCTCCAGTCAAACCATCAACCCGGTTTTGGGGGATAAAGAATATAATGTCATGTTTATAAAATAAAGTTGAATTTAAATAAATAATAAAAAACTTCAAATGGCTTCCTAATTTTAAGAGGGTAATTAGGCGTCTAGTAACAATCAAATTTGTAATCCAACAGCAATCATTGGGTTCGTAAGGTTTCATGCGTGTATTGTCAACGACACCACTGAACCACACCACTGGGGTGTCGTTTACAACTATTTTTTTTGTTAACGTAGTGTTTGTTGTTTGGTAACGATACACCATAAGGAAGACCTAACACAAAACCTATGCAACAATCGATATAAATTATCCTTAATTCGTAAGATCACGACATTGCTTTAAAAATAGCAGATGCAGTGAAACAAAGATACGGTGAAAAAAAAAATAGTAAGTAGGTAATTTCAGATCAAGTTTGTTAATTAAGAAAAAAAAATTGTTGTGAGTAATGGATACAATTATTATGTTTTACGAATCCCTGTGAACTTGACCAATTTTAACATTATCATTAGAAAATAGTACAGAGCGATGTGGTCGCACAGACCCTTTACAAAAAACATTACAAAATAACACAATGAATTGTTTTATTTCACGTTATACATCACTAGTGTGTCGTTAACAACAACAAAACATGTGTGCGTCTCGGGACAGTAGTGCGTAAGACAGAAGTGATAACTTAAACTAATCTAAGTTGAACTATTTAATATTGAAAATGTTTAACTTGAGACAAGCTTAGGTTATTACTTAAATGTTATGTAAAGCGTCTGTCCGAAATACGCTGTGGGTTAGAGTGAGAGAGGGGGAGCCTGGCTACCGCTGCCGTATGCGTGAGAGAAAGGGAAGCTAGACAGACTGGCGCCGTAACGCGTTACGTAACGAAGCGGTTTACCCTCCCATAAAAAGTTATCACTTCAAAAAATAATTGTAAACGACACCCTAGTGGTGTGCTTCATGGTCTGTCGTGACAGTATTATTTAATAGCTTAATAATCATAACACCTGATGGTCGTGATATTCCAGTGAGGCTGTTACGGCGGAGGAGGCCGAGGAGCAGATGTCGCTGGCGTCGTTCCTGATCTCGCGCGCGTGCAACAACAGCGTGGTGGCCAACTACCTGTACTGGTACTTGCTCATCGAGTGCGAGGACCAGGACGGGTGCCGCGACCTCGCGCCGCGACATATGTACCTCTCCGTCATGAGGACTTTCTCCCACAAATTGGCCAAAGGTAACTCCGGTAATTTTCCGTGTGGTGACGGATTAAGAATACAGAGTGTCACCACCCCTATTCATCCTGTGGGTGTCGTAAGAGGCGACTAAGGAAGCGAAATACGCAGGACACCAGCACTAGCAAAAAAAATCCATATTCTGTGCTATTTTAAAATACGTTTTTTTACAAGTATCCAGGAATATTTTATCTAACTCTCAATTTGGATTTAGAGCAGGTATCTCAACCACAAACGCAATACATGCAGTGATCGACCACACTGTCTCTTAACTTGACTCTAAAAAAAAAAAATTGGTTGCCTGTAAAGTCGGTATACGGGCGAAAGTTTTACGTGACAACGACTTTGAGTGGTAAAATAATTTTAATGTGAATATTCATTCGTATAGTAGGAAGAAGGATGAAATAATAGTAACAATTTAAAACATTTATTTATACAAAGAATTATTTATGTCTGTCTCTCTCGCTCTTAGGCGGGCTAACCATGCCCGAGTGGAAGGGACGCGTGCCTCTCACTCGCTCTCATTGTGAGCGCATAACGTGAGCGGAGCGTAACGCAGTTTCTTGAAGTGTCACCCGGCAAACCAATTTATAAGACGTTGTCACGTCAAAAAAAATGCGATATTCCTGGATATAAAAAAAGCATTTGACACAGTCTCTCTCCCACTCCCGCTAAAAAATTGGAAAGATTAGGAATCCGCAGGGAAATCCGATAAACAAACGTATACACACACACACACACACACACACACACACACACACACACACACACACACACACACACACACACACACACACACAACGAACATACAAACAATAAAGCTCATCCTCTCAACCCAATGATTGTATAAACACCTAATGCATAGTAATAAAATGCTACTTACCTGAATCCAACTGTCCAAAGTCTGGAGAGACTCGGAATCTGTCATACAGGTCTCCTTTTTTCCGTGCGTTGAACTATCTATACCTATGTATTAGACTGTGTGAGAGAACAAAAATAAAGTTTTTATTATTATCATACATATATCATCTTAGCAGAAATTCGTTCACTGCTTTATATAAGCTCCCTCCAAGTTCGCCACGATAAACGGTTCTGTGCTACCCGCACCCAACGGCTTCTTTGAAAGTCCCGACGTTCCCAAGGTCGTCGGATCAACTTGTGGGAGCCTATCCCTGTTCAGGAGGTTGGAAGTCCTTAAATGTGCGTGCTAGACGATTCGTAATGACTCTCGAGAAGAGTTTATAGATGGTTCAGAAGAGAGATGGGTCTATAGTTTTTTAACTGGGTATTCCTCTCAAGTATCACGGAATATAATATAATATTCTGAAGGATTTTAAAGACCGGCTTATCACTTGCATTTGGGAGTTCAGCGGTAATTGAAAGCGAGACAAGGCTCTCAAACAGAGACAGAGACTAACGTCTGGTATATCTTCGTCATAGTGCCGAGTTAACTTAACGCTTGGATCTTTTAATAAGTTACTCGTAGTAGTTGGGTCGCGATAAGTTTATATTTTGTTAGTTCTTTATTATTTTGGGCGTAGATATCTCCGTCGGTCACCTTCGTGTCCGTCGTGGGGTGTCGTGAGGACTGTGCTAGGGGACGGAGTGGGGGTTCGATAAGCTAAAGATACGATCGAACCGTCACGCAGTAGTATTATGGTTCGTCGGTCTGTCGGTCTAGCGGATAGAGAGGTCTGAGTGGCGCGGTGCGTGTCGCAGGCAGCGCGGAGCAGCAGCGAGTCCGCGTGGCGCTGGCGCGGCAGCAGGTGTTCATCGACAAGCTGGTGCGCCTCGTGCGGGCCGTGGCGCGCGAGAGCGGCTCGCGCGCGCGCAAGGCCGAGCGTCTGCGCGCACTGCTGGCCGACCCTGACGCCTTCAAGTACAGCTTCGCCGCCATGGACCCGCTGCCCTTCCCGCTCGACCCCGCCGTCACCATCAAGGGCGTCGTGCCCAACAAGGCGAGCCTCTTCAAGTCCGCGCTCATGCCCTCCAAGCTCACCTTCCTCACCACCGAAGGTAACCCTCTCGCGCTTTCGATGTTCCGTGTCACCTAATAAACCACCACGGTGATGAATAAACTGAATGAATCATAAAGAAAATCCTTAATAATTATTCATTTTATTTAAATAAATGCAACATTTTACTCGAAAACTAAATCAAAATTTGTTAAACGATCGTCTTAACCTTGATCATACCATTTTTAGGTGTAGAATACGAAGCCATATTCAAGCACGGCGACGACCTTCGCCAAGATCAGCTGATTCTACAAATGATCACACTCATGGACAAACTGCTTCGAAGAGAGAACCTGGACCTGAAACTGACTCCGTACAAAGTGTTAGCGACCAGCTCCAAACACGGTTTCTTGCAGGTAACAAACTTATATCGTCTATCGCTCTCACTTACGGAGAACTGAACAAATAAGAATTAGATGTAGGTACATAGAAATTTAGGTATTTTAACGAAAAACTGTGTGATTTGAAAGATGATGTAATGACAAGAATTAAGAAAAAGATGCTGCTATAGTTCGAACATATAAAAAGAAAATGCATACCAATAAAAAAGGCTTGTGTCCACTAATAACAAATTGCTTGGTTTATAGTTTCAAATTAAAAATGAAGAGACATAGATAAGAAAAAACCAGTATATTTCTCATAAAAGTTAAGTTAAGTTAAGATAAATTCGACCAAAATAGGCATTAAGTCACGTAACAACGAACACCGATCAGAAAGTGTTACGTCACGCCACGCAAAACATCATTGTTGTTGATGACGTTTTCATACAACAGAGCAGGTTACTCCATTTTGTTTTTCCTTTTTTAGCATATGTTCTCACCTTAATACAGTTTCTGTTGACACTGAACATAGATGTAAACAGTTTTGTTTCGCGGACTGTGACGTCATACAAGACGCCATGACACTATTCAGCGTTTTCAAGGGAAATTTAAATTGTTTTTTTAAAATACAAAATACGTAATGTGAATATTGCTATTTCTTTAAAATATAAGTTTTATGGAATAAAATAGATATTAAAGTATATAATTAACCAAGTTTTCAAATTGAGTAAACTAACCTATTGGCGAGTCGGAATAACTAGCTGTACCCTGCCACACTCCTCCTTTCTAAAGAGAGGCCTATGTCCAGCAGTGGACTATTAAAGGCTGTTGATGTTGATGATGACGATCCTGCCACACTTCGCTGTGGCACATTGTTGTTAATAAAAAATGAGAAACAAAACTGACGCCAAAAAAAAAAAAATCATCAAATTCGGTTCACTTAGTCAAAAGTTCTGAGGTAACAATAATAAAAAAAAAATACAGTAAAAATACATTTTAATATACATAAATTATTAAGTAAACAATCTGTTTTATATTCTCTGAAAACCGCATCATTAAAGACTTACCGTGGGAAAACCGAGCCGGCCCTCATAGGAAATCGGTGTTAAGCAATTCTTTCGTATTTTTTACCGAGTAAATGAGGTTAACGGATGACCAATCCCCCTTAAATCCTTGGGGGAGGAGCTCAAAAGACGAAAACGCACTTATATCGTTTGAGTTGTCCCTGGGAAGCATTAGTGACCATGATATGTACCAACTACATCATCATCATCAGCCTATCGCAGTCCACTGCTGGACATAGGCCTCCCATTGCACGCTACTTAAATCGATTTAAACAGCGTCGTCAGTCAGTAAACAGGATCTGGATCCTGCCATCCATCTAGCACAAATCGTAAATAACGCTATTAAATTATATAAAAATGTATTCTTTGTTTTTTTTATTTTCAACGGTTTTTTTTACAAAATAAAGTTTAATTTTATTTGTTGACCGTCAGATAATCCTGTCTGGTTGCCCCATATACCTACCATCAAACCCTTTATGTTTTAGTTCATAGAATCAGTGACGGTGGCGGAAGCTTTAGCTACGGAGGGTAGCATACAGAACTTCTTCAGGAAGCACAACCCTTGCGAAGGCGCACCTTATGGGATCAAACCGGAGACCATGGACACGTACATCAGGAGCTGTGCTGGATACTGTGTTATTACTTATTTACTTGGTGAGTCCTTGTTTTATATATACACACTGTGTGATGAAGGTTATGACAAAAACTGAAACACCAGATAACATGGTTCAATATACGTCGGTTAAAATAAAAAAGAAAAAAAATTGTACGAAAATACAGAAATGCAAAATAAACACAATAAAACAATTGCTGAATTAGAACACCATTGATAACATGAGTCGGTGAACTGTACACGGCAGCGTCGCAATGTCGGCGACATCAAAGCGACGCCGCCGCCGCCCCGACGAGCCGGCGAACTTTACATTCTTATTACCTACCTACTAATCACTTCACTTGCTTTTTTAAATCTATTTATTAAGAATACGATTTTATTCATGTGTTTATGTTGGGAATGCTCGACTAGCTTCGGACCCGGCAGTACGTGTCACTCCTTGAAAAAGTAGGTAGGTACGTTTGGTTGTCTCGTAATCTTTGTACCGCCCTTACAAAAATTCGGCAGTCTGTAGGACATATACGATTGACTCCATACCTGTCCGTAAAGCAAAAGATGCGTTTTGATAGAGTTTCCCATAAATTAACATCATGACAGGATATTCCGCGGCTGTGAAGGTCATTCACGGCATTATGGATGTTGATACCGATAACCCAATTAAATTAAAAGACTGATAATTCACTCAGTTTCACACTACACTACACACAGAACCTAATATTGTCACTTTTAAAAATAAAATTACCATGACTCGTTATATTACGAAGTCTTGCGCACACGATAACATTAATTGTTCACACCATTGCCGTGTATTATGACGAAAACAATAAGACTAAACAATTAGCACAAGAAAACTTTTCTAAACAAATATGTATCTCATGAACAACAACAATATTATTATTACGGTTATTTGTCATGAGCGCATCTACAAGGATACAGACACACTAACACTCGCCGGTGGCCAAGGGCCGACTGACTGTCCTTACTGGATGAACTAATTAAAAACGTCGTGATGACTCAATAATCAACATATTTCGTTCGATTCGAGTGTAGTAAAAGCGGCAACGTGTGATTACCGCGCCGCGTATACCTACAGCTGATCGCCGCCTGAGGTCAATGTATTATGTACACATGATGTTGCAAATTACGAAAACAAAAAAAAATGTCCTGTTTCTAAACCACTGAATATTTTTTGTTCATATTTTGCAAAAAGTCTAGAAATAAAGTGCAGAATATGATGTTAAAAGCTTTGTGATTAAATAAGGGACATGCGGTATATTTTCTGTTGGTAAGTCCAGCATATAACTTTGTGACGTTGAGGTTTGATATCCGCTGATCACAAACTGTAATTTTTTTTTACCCAAGTCAATGCAATTAAATATATTCAATTAAAAAATAATAATATGTTTATTTTCACCACAAACGCCACAATGTACAGGGAATTATAAAAATTAGTGCAAAAATAAAAGTTGTAGTTTGAGGTGGACTGGAGCCTTAATAGGTCAATGCCTGTATTTCAGGACTCCAGGATTCACACCCGCGTGGTTAAGTTAGTCGATGTATTGTGGTGCGCTTGAGTGCGTGTGTGCGCGCGCGCGTGTGTGTGTGTGTGTGTGTGTGTTTGTGTGAATAATAAGTACGTATGTACGTATATGAAAATGTTTGCAAGCAGTTATTCGTGTTCCAGAACAAACATATAGTACACGTTACGCCCAGTTCAAACTAAGCATAACTTCAAAATCTTAAATAGTTAACTTCAGAATCATACCTATCAATTTGACCAATTATCATAATTTATTGTAAAAATTACAAAATAGTGCGTAGTGTAAAAAATATTGGCGTTTCATTTGATATTTGTTCGTATTTATTACTAAAACGGCTTGACAGATTTACTAAGAACAACTACTTACTAAGAACAGCTGTATTACTAAGTTACCGGAGCCCAAATCCCCCCTCCCGCTGACTCCAGCGTGAGGGAGTCCAAAGGCAGCAATGCACTTGTGACTTTTGAGTTGCAAGTGTCCATGGGCGGCGGTAGTGCAGCGGCAAACGAGCAGACGGGTCACCTGATGGTAAGCAACCATCAGGTGACCCTCTCTCGCCCCCTCTCTCGCTCTCGCTCCTTTGCCCCCTTATACCATAAAAAAAAAAGTGTATAGTAATTCAGGATTTTTCGAAATAAAAGGCAGGAGTGTGGACTGTATACTGTGAGCTTTTATAATGAACTTACAAAATGACAAAAATATTATATGATACAGAATATACAGATTACGCAATTATGACAACAAGTTCACGCTATAAGCGTTAACACATTGCTAACAGATAGAACTGGTGATACAAATAGATTAAAACTGGCAATAATTAAAATATTAAGGTAATGTAGATGAAAAATTAACCCTATGTTCATCATCATCAACAGCCTTTAATAGTCCACTGCTGGACATAAGCCTCTCCTTAGAAAGGAGGTTTTGGCTTACTATGCCACGCTGGCCAGACGGGTTGGTATAGGGTTCTTGTCAAGTTTTCCTTCTCTCTACAGTGCTGTTGTCCTGCGTAGTTTTCTCCCTTAGTCGGCTCTTACGACACCCACGGGATGAATAGGGGTGGTGACACTCTGTATTCTTTATCCGTCACCACACGGACAATGATACAAATAGATTAAAAGTGGCAATGGTTAAAAACTTAACGTAATGTAGATCAAAAATTAACCCAGTGTTTTAAATATTTTTAGGCGTAGGTGACCGTCACCTCGACAACCTTCTCCTCACAAAGTCCGGCGCATTGTTCCACATAGACTTCGGATATATACTCGGACGGGATCCGAAGCCACTACCCCCTCCTATGAAACTCAGCAAGGAAATGGTTGAGGCGATGGGAGGTGTTCAATCAGAACATTACCACGCGTTTCGGAAACAATGCTACACAGCGTTTTTGCATTTACGCAGGTATGATTTTTAACACCATACGGTATTTTAAGTGTCGCTTGTTCTTAGCTGTCATCATCATCAACATCAACAGCCTCTCACAGTCCACTGCTAGACATGGACTCTGCTTAGAAAGTAGGTTTTGGCTTATTATACCACGCTGGCCAGGCGGCTGGTCTTTGCAGTGCTGTTGTCCTGCGTAGTTTTCTACGCCACCCACAGGAGGAATAGGGGTGGTGACATTCGGTATTATTAATCCGTCACCACACGGCATCTGTCCGTGTGGTGTCTGTATTAGTGGGCTCTGGGTGGGACACTCCGCATTCTTAATCCGTCACCACACGGACCCAAAATATTATTACAAATATTATAATAAAATAAATATATTAGTATCTCTTTCTTTTTTAAAAGACACAACTCCCGCACTAGGAATATATCCTGTGTCGTGGGGAACTTTACAAACATACATGAAATTGATACAAAGGCCACCCAGACTCACTCGATCGTTACGATGACCGGACCGGACCGCGCTGAAATCTCCACCAATCGCAACGCTAAACGCGCTCGCCATCGAGAGCGAGTCGATGTGAAACAAACTCGCACTTGGCTCTCAGAACAACGATTTGTCGATCACACAAAGTGTCGTCCCGTGTGGGGATCGAACCCACAACACTCAACCAGTAGGAAGCGGCGAGGTGACCGCTGAAACCACTACGCCATCCGTGCAGTCAAATTATTATCTTTCTTTGCGCCGTCTGAAAAGGAATAAATTCCAAAGGAAGGTTTGCGTTAAGCATTCGGTCATAAAAGTAACCTGCCAAAACCCATATAAAGACAACACTATCCCATAATTACCCAAAACTCTTATTTTTATACATTATGTTATGTTCCAGACACGCGAACCTGATGCTGAACTTATTCTCTCTGATGGTGGATGCGTCAGTTCCCGATATCGCGTTGGAACCCGACAAGGCTGTGAAAAAAGTACAGGACAAGCTAAGGTACTTTTAAAAATCTCACACCAATATATAAACTCACGCCATTCTCTCTTCAGGAGAGAGATAGCTTGACTCTTTCTTCTACCCTCACATGCCTCACGGACATCCTTAACTGTCATTCAACGTCTGTACGAAGTTTAGGGTAGTTTTATAAATCAACGTTAATGTTGTCTTATCTTGACCGTGTAGTGACGGATTAAGAATACGGAATGTCACTACCCCAATTCATCCCGTGGGTGTCGTAAGAGCCGACTAAGGGAAAAAACTGCGCAGGATAACAGCACTGCAGAGAGAAGGAAAACTTGACACAAACCCTATACCAACCCTCTGGCTAGCGAGGTATAGTAGGCCAAAACCTCCTTTCTAAGGAGACGCCTATGTCCAGCAGTGGACTAGTAAAGGCTGTTGATGTGATGTGATGTTAATCTTGAATCTAATGTATGGTAGATGATTGTCTCGTGTGCGTTACCCCAGCAAAATAATGTCGAAATTGACATTTAAACGTTATAGATAATTAGTTGCTCCCCTTCTGTAATTGTTAGGCACATTTTTAAATTTGTTTCACTTAAACTTTTTAAGTTATTTCAAAAAAACATTTCTTGCTGGGGTAACGTTTGAAACGTTACCGCAGCCAGACATTTTCTTTTTTAATTGTAATATTGAAATAATTTTTAGCTAAATAATTAGTTATCTGGACTAGGTAAATGTTACAACTTATTTGGTATTTGTATTTTCTTCGGCTGCGAAGTTATTCGAAATCCTGCTGGAGTAACGTTTGTGGGTTTGCTGGATCTCTGAAACGGGTAAGCGGATTGTAACCATCTTTTGTACATAACTTCTTAAGGATTAGTTTTAATTTGTTCGACAATAAAATAACAAAAATAATGGACCGTTTAAAAATTATTTAGGTAAGTATGAAAACACTTCAATACGTCCTAACACTTTAAATAAGACCTCTAAAGACTTACTTGAAACGTTATTCTATTGCTTGTAACTACCTTCAAATGTATACGAATTTTCGTAAGAATACTGTAAGTGACTAAAAAGTTATGATGAAATGTAGCTCTCCACGTTCACGATCACAATGTGTGCGGCCTTTTTTGGCCACCGATAAACCTGTGTGTGGATATATAAACTGAATGTTATGCCAATAATTAGTTGTTTAGTTCAGTTGTCTACCTGTAAAATTTCAGCGTAGTACATATAATAATTTACGAGATAATTAAATAAGAGTCATTAGAAGGTGCAAGACCGTGGTAATCCGACCATGTTTAGGTGGTTACAAAAAAGCGATCACCCAGTACATTGCGCTGTCTTTTAAAATGTTTAGTGTAATACACCTTACGATTTCGGTACAGTTGCGTATAGTGTTAAATACATTCAATATTTATATATTATTATTACCTATCATTTATTTTGTTTTTTTCCCTAATTGATCTTAAGCACTAGTTTCTTTACTTAAAATTTCTTTAGTCTTTTTTACTACCGGAGCTACAATCAACAGAAAATCTGCACTGGTCCGCTAAAATTATAAATATGTAGATACATGTATGAACGATTCACCTGACTGCAATAAATCGAAAATTTAAACCAATAAGAAATCGTTTCATTTCTTTGATTTTTTTTGTAAAGAAATAACACTAAGGTAATTGAATTTTATTTTGAGGTGTATAGAGCTTAGACTTGAATGCATCAAAATATTTAAAGCAACAAGTCATCTATAATAAGTTAAAATAGACCGAATAGTAAAAAAATACAGTTGTAAATTAGAATACATCAACATTGCATCGCCCAACAGTCGTATACCTCGTAGAGTAGGTAATATTGTTCTGTGGTCTATACCGAGAACCGAGAATTATCTATACCTATGTACCTACCGCTAAGCGTTGAGCCCGTGACTGTTGATTTCTGTTAAAAACGAACAGTTGTTGAATGATATTTTGATATAATAACGGTAATTTAATTTATCGAGTGAAAGTGATACATTTTTATAGATAAAATTATTGGTCAGATAATATTTGTCAATCAAGAATCGCCGATAATACATCCTTCGCTAGAACGCGGGAGGGGAGGGGCGAAGGGATACTTCATTGTTTGCAATTTGCATCTAGTGCACTAAACTTGACCCTTAGGCAGATAATATACGTCTTGTAAAGTGCGTGTGCGCTTCCGCCTTCTATTTTTGCAAATATTTATCGTATTCTTGAGAGTTCTTCAATATGTGTGTACCTAATTACTAATAATGGGCATTAATGCTAATTCGATTCAATTTAAGTAATTGTCAATTCTTGTCTTAGGATATTAATTACTAATACTTATATAGAAATTACGTTCAGGGTGAACAAATTAAAAACGATCGTAACTTGTAGGTAGGTATATCACTTATTACTAATTTTACATAAATAATTTATTTTATTATAATTTAACTCACCGCGATTTTGTGATCAAATATTTTATTTTCTCCAACATTATTACAGAAATAATGCAATACAGAGTTTGTTCGCAATATGCTAGCCTAAGTCGATTCATCACTTAAAAAAATCCCCATCTATTCACAAAATACCTATTTACAACGCATACGTTACACTCTTCAAAACTTATCATTTCATTTCATTTCATATTTCTTAAATTACCTATACCTACCCTAAAATTAAACTTCAATTAACAAATACTACGCAGGTACCAATTCTTTGAACAACTATAAACAATTCACCTAAACATTACGAGAAAACAAAAGCATTCAAAACAAAACCTAATCTCCCGGCTGATTACTAATTATGCAATAAACAATCCTAAATAAAAAATATTTAAAAAACATGTAGTTTTTTGTAACACTTATTTACATATCCGTAGTAAACTTGCAAATAATATCCTACATATTTTAAAAGCCAGCACAATGTACTGAGTGATCGCTTTTTTGTAACCACCTAAACATGGTCGGATTACCACGGTCTTGCACCTTCTAATGACTCTTATTTAATTATCTCGTAAATTATTATATGTACTACGCTGAAATTTTACAGGTAGACAACTGAACTAAACAACTAATTATTGGCATAACATTCAGTTTATATATCCACACACAGGTTTATCGGTGGCCAAAAAAGGCCGCACACATTGTGATCGTGAACGTGGAGAGCTACATTTCATCATAACTTTTTAGTCACTTACAGTATTCTTACGAAAATTCGTATACATTTGAAGGTAGTTACAAGCAATAGAATAACGTTTCAAGTAAGTCTTTAGAGGTCTTATTTAAAGTGTTAGGACGTATTGAAGTGTTTTCATACTTACCTAAATAATTTTTAAACGGTCCATTATTTTTGTTATTTTATTGTCGAACAAATTAAAACTAATCCTTAAGAAGTTATGTACAAAAGATGGTTACAATCCGCTTACCCGTTTCAGAGATCCAGCAAACCCACAAACGTTACTCCAGCAGGATTTCGAATAACTTCGCAGCCGAAGAAAATACAAATACCAAATAAGTTGTAACATTTACCTAGTCCAGATAACTAATTATTTAGCTAAAAATTATTTCAATATTACAATTAAAAAAGAAAATGTCTGGCTGCGGTAACGTTTCAAACGTTACTCCAGCAGGAAATGTTTTTTTGAAATAACTAAAAAAGTTTAAGTGAAACAAATTTAAAAATGTGCTTAACAATTACAGAAGGGGAGCAACTAATTATCTATAAAGTTTAAATGACCATTTTCGACATTATTTTGCTGGGGTAACGCACACGATTGTCTCTGTACCTGGCAATTGACTACACTCTGTGGCTTAACAAATGTACCACATAATTAGTTCTATAAATATTTGATTTTATTGAAATACATATAAAACGATATTAGTTTCATTTCATTCAATTTATTACATTGTCATCATCATCATCATCAACAGCCTTTAACAGTCCACTGCTGGACATAGGCCTCTCCTTAGAAAGGAGGTTTTGGCCTACTATACCTCGCTAGCCAGAGGGTTGGTATAGGGTTTGTAGCGACGGCGACTAGCGTCTGGGCACGTCCTTGTGCTGGGGGACTTCAACGCAAAGTCCATTGCGTGGGGTTCCCCCAGGACGGACGCCAGGGGCGAGGCCGTAGAGGAGTGGGCGGCCTCGGTGGGCCTCTGTCTTCTAAACAGAGGCTCCACCAACACGTGCGTGCGACAGCAGGGGGGGTCGATAGTGGACCTCTCGTTCGCTACCCCTGCCCTCGCCGCACGAGTAAGGAACTGGCGTGTCCTGGAAGAGGTTGAGACGCTCTCGGATCACCTGTATATCCGATTTGAGCTCTCCCGGACCCAGGACTCCAGTAGGGGTCACGTGGCGCGGCGTTTATCCCGCTTTCCGCGGTGGGCTGTTGCCAGGCTGAACCGGGACCTACTAGAGGAGGCAGCCATAATTCACTCGTGGCTGTCTCCTCAGGCTCCGACCGAGGAGGTCGACGTGGGGGCTGGCCGCTTTAGCGATGCGATTACGCATGTATGCGATGCGGCCATGCCCCGCGTTCGAGGTCGTCGGCCTCCAAGGAAGGAGGTCTACTGGTGGTCCCAGGAGCTGGCGGACCTCCGTGCGGCCTGTACACGTGCCCGGAGGTCCTACACACGCAGTCGGCGGCGTCACCGTGGAGACGGTGAGGAGGACCGGCTTCATGAGGAGTACCGACGGGCGCGGAAAACTCTGAAGCTGGCCATTAGCCGCGCCAAAGAGGAAAAGAGACAGGAGATGCTGGAGGGTCTTAATCGTGACCCCTGGGGTCGCCCTTACCGCGCGGTGCGACAAAAGCTCCGCGCGTCGGGCCCCCCCCTTACGGAGACTCTCCAGCCCAGCTTCCTGCGAGAAGTGGTTGAGGGCCTTTTCCCACAACGAGCGGAACACACTCCCCCGTCGATGGCCTCCCTGGCCGGAGACGACGGGGAGCACGGGGAGGACAATGTTCCGCCCGTCCGGGATTCGGAGGTAGGGGCGGCTGTTCTACGGATCCGTTCCAAGAACACCGCCCCTGGGCCAGACGGGGTACCGGCCCGAGTGCTGGCCCTGGCCCTCAACCACATGGCAGACCGCCTCGGGGAGGTGTTCGACGCTAGCTTGGCGTCGGGACGCTTCCCTGAGTGCTGGAAAAGCGGGAAGCTGGTCCTATTGAGGAAGCCGGGACGGCCAGCCGATTCGGTCGCGGCCTATAGGCCCATCGTGCTGCTGGACGAGGCGGGCAAATTGTTTGAGAGGGTTCTTTCTGCCCGCATCGTCCGGCACCTCTGCGAGGTGGGCCCCGATCTGTCGGACGCCCAATTTGGTTTTCGGGCGGGGCGTTCGACAGTCGACGCTGTGTTGCGCCTGAGGGCCGTGACCGAAGAGGCCGTGAGCTGTGGCGGCGTGCTGTTGGCGGTGTCATTGGACATCGCCAACGCATTCAATAGTCTGCCATTCAGCTGCATCAGGGAAGCACTCCACTATCATGGGGTGCCAAAGTACCTGAGGCGGCTGGTGGCAGACTATTTAGAGGAGCGTACCGTCGTGTACGAGGACCGAGAAGGTAATTTGAGGAGTCGGCCCATGTCGTGCGGTGTTCCACAGGGGTCTGTTCTTGGACCCCTCTTGTGGAACATAGGGTACGACTGGGCCCTTCGCGCCGATTTCCCCCCCGGGCTGGGTGTAATCTGTTACGCAGACGATACCCTCGTGACAGCCCGGGGGGCAAACTTCCAAGAGGCGGCGCGCCTGGCCACAGGGGGAGTCTCCCTGGTGGTCGGGCGCATTGAGGCGCTGGGCTTACGGGTGGCCCTAGATAAGACGGAGGCCCTGTTATTTCATGGGCCCCGTCGTGGTCCATCCCCTGGCGCCTCAATCGTGGTCAACTCGGTCCTCGTACCGGTTCGGGCCCAGATGAAATATCTGGGCCTGATCCTCGACGGGAGGTGGCTCTTCGACGAGCACTTCCGACAGCTTGCTCCAAAGCTGGTCGGCGCTGCGTCTGCCCTAGGGCGACTTTTGCCCAATATGGGTGGACCCAGCGTCGCGACAAGACGGCTGTACACGGGGGTTGTCCGGTCAATGGCGCTGTACGGTGCACCGGTGTGGGCGGCGGCTCTGACCGCCCAGAATAGGGTACGCCTCTGGCGCCCTCAGAGGGTAATGGCGGTCAGAGCCATACGCGGTTACCGCACCGTTTCTACGGAGGTGGCATGCGCGTTGGCCGGAACTCCCCCGTGGGATTTGGAGGCGGAAGTGCTCGCCGAGTTTATCGGCGAGTGGCTGACTCCCGGGCGGAGAGCGGATTTCGCCCTCCGCCCGAGGATGTGCGCGAGTGGCGCGAAGCCGCTCGCCGAGCCACGATGGCTCGTTGGTCGTTCCGGCTGGAGACTCCACGCGCTGGCTTCGCCGCCGTGGAGGCTCTCCAGCCGGTCATCGCTGAGTGGGCAGGGCGGCAGCACGGGACCCTTTCCTTCCGACTGACGCAGGTGCTTTCCGGGCACGGTTGCTTCGGAAAGTACCTGCACACGGTCGCTAGGAGGGAACTGAGTCCCGCCTGCCACCACTGCGACTGCAGTGAGGACTCGGCCCAGCACACGCTGGCGGTCTGCCCCGCATGGGCGGCGCAGCGCCGGGCCCTCACTGCAGTCATCGGAGTGGATCTCTCGCTACCGGCCGTAGTACGCTCCATGGCCGGTAGCGACAGTTGTTTTACCGCGGTCGCAACCTTCTGCGAGGTAGTAATCTCGCGGAAGGAGGCGGCGGAGAGGGCCCGGGAGGACGACCTCCACTCGGACCCGATCCGCCGCCGGCGAACCGGGCGGCGGAGGCCCGGCTATCACAGCCTCATGCCGCCCTGAGTGTGGCCGCGGGTGGACGGGGTGGGTTTCCCCTCCACCCGCATTAGTTGGCCAGCCGCGAGGGGGCGGCGTCCGCGTGTGCCGGACGTCGCCTAAAGAGAGGAACATCCACATTGAGACGGAGCCCGCACCAGGAGCGGGCTGGCGCTAGGAGGGGTCCGGATGTCTTAACAGCAGCTGTTCCCGGATCCCTCCTGTTACAGGCGCAGAGTGGCACACCGTGTGGTTTTAGTCGGTCCGAGCCCGACACACCACCCCGCCGCAAACCCCGGAGGGGTGACGGTCCGAGGGGATTTCCACACGTTAAAAAAAAAAAAAAAAAAAAGGGTTTGTGTCAAGTTTTCCTTCTCTCTGCAGTGCTGTTGTCCTGCGTAGTTTGCTCCCTTAGTCGGCTCTTACGACACCCAAGGGATGAATAGGGGTGGTGACACTCTGTATTCTTAATCCGTCACCACACGGTCAATAGAAATAAAGTTAAAGCTAGCGATGTACTTCTCTGTTTTGTCGTCAGAGTTTGTAAGAATGTTTGATCAAAGGACACTCCAATTAACATATCTTGTAATTATAACTTGTAGATTGGACCTGGGCGACGAGGAAGCTGTACACTACCTACAGAACCTACTGGACATGTCGGTGACAGCCGTGATGGCTGTGCTGGTAGAACAGTTCCACAAGTTCGCACAGTATTGGCGGAAGTAACCTTACCAGATAAGCATACCAGACACCTGACAAACTCTACTAGAACTGACATATCGTTGCTCAAGTTATAACACCGCGGACATCAAGGCCTGCAATATTGTAACAAGAAAAAAATACGAATTATAAAATTGCACCTACACTCAAATGACGTCACAATTTAAATAATGTTACAACTTCAAAAATCTAATTTTCGAGAAAAAGTAATTTAATGTTAGAAAAATTTTTAGTGTTTATCCGATTTCTCTAGGATCACATTATTTACGATTACAAAAGGAATTTTGAAAATCGATGCGGAAATATCGCTTAACAAACATACAATAAAAAAAAAAGTTGAATTCAGAACCTCTTTTGTCGTCTTCAGTTCAGTCGTCAGCTCCTCGCTTTTAACTTGCTGAAAACCGTTTTGTTCTTTTTTAAACTAAGACCCGAACATTGAGTCAAACTTTAAACGCCTAGATTTATTGAGTTGCATGGTCATTGGAGTGGGGGTGTAATACCTATATTCTTTCAAATCTTTCACCACCCAAATACGACTCCCCTGGTGTTTCACCTTGACTGAGCACAACTAGGCAGCTAAAACCTTTAAGTAGAGTTGTCACATTTTACACAGGGTGTTTAATTTTGTCATTCACTTGATTTAAGAATTTATGTTCATATAAGTGCTTATGTATAAGATTAGTGTTAATGTATTTTGTACTTGTTCCTACTTTATTAATTCGGTGAAACGAGCAGTCTATTAAAATATATATAATTTACATCATCGTTGACATGGCCAAGTTTGAGCTGCCCCATGCAGCAATGGGCCCCATGAAAAGAAAACAATTAATGATAAATATTATGGACATGGGGTGCCTCAGCTAGTATTTTGATATTAGTCGCTAATTTGTGAGTCATTAGATATAATATTTGAAATTAGTCTATTTTAATATTGTGAGATATAATAATGTATGAATGTATTTAATCTTTATTGTCTTCCGTATTAATACTTAATTCGCTTGCGTTTGACTTTGTTTTATCATATTGAGGAGTAATTAAACTTAAAATGACATAGTTGATTATAGGATTTTTTTTTATCCAACTGTATTGTTTGTAATTGTGACATAATGGAAATTTATGTATGTTTTAGTTGTCAGTGAGAAAGAATATCCTTAAAATACATTTATCATAACTCATAAACTTTGAAAATCAAGGGTAATAAGCGTAATCTTGTGAGACGCGTATTTTGAGTTGCGCTATTCATGTTGAACTGAAATCCAATTAGGCTGTCAGACAGTTGTAGTAGCTAGCCAACGGGATGAGGGAGCAACCCTCATCGCGTGAGTCAGCAGGCAACACATTTTGCGCTACCCTGTGGCACGTAACAAGACTTTTTTATGACACTGGATGTCGGGTTAATTTACGCGACTCACAACTCAAATAATTAAGCTCTGCCAAACGAGCTAATCCCTTATTCTTAGTTATTGAGACCATTTTCACCACTTTAATTTTTATTAAATTCGGTTCGTGAAAATGCTTGAAGAATAAACTGTGATATAGTAGGTATTATAAGTGTTCTTATGTAATCAATAAAAATATTTTTTTAATCTCATGTGTTTAATGTTTTAAAGTTATACAATACCTTATAAATACTTAAAGCTTACGTATTATAAATCCCCTCCCCCTCCCCTCTTAAGTTGAAAAAGTCACCCCTCAAAATTAAGATTTATTTATGTAAATGGCGATACTAATAATATATAATATACTCTTTTTCTATCTTTGTAACCATAAAGGTACAAACTGACTGTAAGCTGCTCAAAACTTCAGTAGGTATACACCAACTCACACTACTCGAGAAATACGAACACATACAACGCATTTTACTAAAAATCACTCTTTATTTACCCATCTTTATACCTGCCTGTGCTGAGATCCATAACCTCAGCTTTCGTAATCAGGATGCGTAATCATGGGGCTCTATTTGTTGAAAGCAAATTCAAGGGATTTTTTTTAAGACATAACCCCCACATTATAGTTAAACCGCCGTAAGCTTGGCCCTCCTGATGGTTTGGGGGACGCGGGGCGGGGGTGCATTCATGGCTGTACGTGTTATTTTTCTTAAGACTGCTACACACGGTATTATTTTGCAATATGGATAATCTGCCGACTCTGTGTCACAAAAAGATTTAAAAACTTGAAGTTCGGCTTACAGAGGTTCTACTGTTAAAGTTCTAATAAAGAATATTTATTATTTTACTTAATTTTTAAATTGTATCTGAATATAATTTACATGATGAAGATAAGGTGATTTTATTAAAATTATTTTACAGTATTAAATTTTACAATTAATCATAAAAACTTACAATACACTGACATTATAATACATGGAAATAAATTCGATTTTTATTACATCGTGTGTAGATTAAATCTCAAACAAATAAATCTGAAGATATCGAGTTAGTACATCGTGTCATGTATAGCCGAGCGCATCACCCGCCCCGCGTCCCGCAAACCATCAGGAGGGCCACGCTTACGGCGGTTTAACTATAGGAATATATCCCGTGTCGCGGGGGACCTCACAAACATACATGAAACGGACACAAAGAACACCCAGACTCGGAACAACAATTTGCGGATCACAGAAAATGTCGTCCCATGTGGGGATCGGACCCACGACACTCGGCGTAGTAGTAAGCGTGGCGACCGCTTAAACCACTATGCCATCCATGCAGTCAATATATTATGTGAAATAAAATCAATGACAGGAAGTAAGGGTTAACACATGCTTATGACATAAAAATGTCTCGACCGTTGTTCGCGGACCTCACTTCTCAGTCAGAGCTTGAGGGTTCGATTTGCACCCTGCACTGACAGTTCTGGATGTGATTTTTGCATGTATAGATAGTTCAACTCAGTTGCGCGCGCGGCCCTATGTGTGCGTGGGCTTGTAAATATACAACTTTCATTCGTGTGGCAGTCGTCGTCCGACTGCCGCGTCACTGCCACACGAATGTAAGTTGTATATTTACAACTGGCCGCGCGCACAACTGAGTCTATATTTATGTTAACATTCATGTTATCCTATATAAACAAGAAGAAGTCTAGGTACCGGCTCTGCTTACCTTAGGCTTACATAAAAACGTAGGAAATGTATTGCAAGCTATTATAAGTTATTATTTACATTGCCTTGGACTTGTTACATCCCAAAAAAATACAAAAAAATAAAGGGTATTGACACGAGAGGTAATGCCACCTTATCAAGACCCTTCGTCTTATATCAGGAAGACTAAACATGGCTATTAAAAGGCAATAATACTATTTATAAAAAAATCTTATTAAGAGAGCCAATTGCATGTTTGTCATTGACATATTTCATGTGTCATATAACAGAAACGTTTATGTAGCAGATCCTATCATTTCCGCTCCACTGTGCACACAATCACTGGTCACATATATCTTACTTCCGGTTATAGTTTGTATCACATCACAAGCTGCTATCTCTGCATAGTTCACGCCACCAATCACATAAACTAACACTGATTTAGGCTTCAAAGGAAAACAATTACCAATATTTGGATCACTCTTCAACAACTTTGCCAGTCCCTTTACATCTTTGCAACCAAATTCCAAATCATTTTGCAGTTTTAAGTTCGATAATTTTTCGTTTAAAGTTTCCATTCCAACTTTGAGCTTATCAAGTATTTTTCCACCTACCCTCAACTCGGATAATGATGACAATTTCATTATAAGCTCAGCTAAAGTTTCCGATGTAAGCATTGCTTGGCAGAGCACAGCAATCAGAGGTATATAGCTTCCATTGAAGACATAACTCGGTGAAGACTTGCTATCTTTGTCTGCTTGAGACGGCAACTGCTTTAACTTATTAGCATTGCTCTGAAACTCATTCTGCCACTTTGGTAGTCTGTCACTAAGGTTACCGAGGTTCGAAATGTTTAAAGATAGTTTTGGACTAGAAGGCTGCACTAGTAACCCAGCATTTATTAAGTTATTAAAGACATACAAATACTTGTATCCAAATGCAAGTAAATACTTTGTTACCAATGTATTGTATTCATCATACGTAAGAGATTGTGTTAAACTCAACAAACACATTAGTCGTAAACTATTATATATGTGGATATCAGTGCCAAAATTCTCATCGACAAATTGGAAATTTGATTTCTTATTTTTGTTGTTCAGCATTTCTGTTTCAGCTAGTTTTAAATTTTCATACTTGTTGCTCATTTCTGATATAATTGTCTCACAAGCTAACACATGATTGACTAAATTTTGCTTGAACAAAGTTATCTGTTGCAGTTTTGTTGCCACAAAATGTTTTATTTCTTGTATACCTAAAGCCTTTATATCTTCATTCTTCAACAACTTAGCTTTTGAGCTTAAAACACTTAAAACTTCAGAGAAATGTCTGTGTTTGATTTCGCCATACAAATTATCTATTGAACTATCTAACATAATGACTGCATGTTTAGAAGGTCCACCTTCATCTTCAAAGCCAAAATCCAGTTTACCTTTTTTTAATTTTGTTTCCTTGACATTCAAATCTAGGTTTCCACAGTTAACAGTGAACAATTCGCTAAGAAGACCACTGTACGTTGCAGGTGTCAGCAAACTTGAAGCATAATCTTGATTTCTATCTACTATCACAAGTGCGCCGATGTCTTTTGAGCTCTCCTTCTCAAGAAATCCTCGTGCATAAGTCTCGTTGTAAATCTCTAACATGTCTAGAACACTTGCAGAAAGTTTGCCAATCGAGAATACAGCTTTCGGCTTGCCCGTTACATGAAACAGGCTCCATAAAGACATTGATATACTTGAGAGTAGTGAATGATTCTGTTCAACATAAAGTTGCTTGAACAGAAACGGCAGTTCGAGACTTAAAAGCTGGTTATCCAACATCATAAACTCCCAAGTAAATGTATGTAATTTCACTATATTGTACAACCCTTTGCTTTCCAATATTGAGTCATATATTGTAAGCACTTTAGGGACTATTATTATGTGAAAGCAATTCAATTCAGCAAGTGACGAGTTTAGATTAATTAGTGAAGCAATCTGGTCTAAAACACACTTGTACTTGTGAATACAGGATGGTATGAAGTATACTCTATTTGTATTTGCTGTGTTTCCAAGGTTGGGATCCATCTTGTAAATTTTATCTATGCCATGTTGTCTGAAAATTATAATTATACAGCAATTAGGATAATTGAAACATTTCGATAAACACATTCTAGAATGTACATGTATATATTACATTAACAGCCTTTAATAGTCCACAGTTTGACATAAGCTGCTCCTTAGAAAGGAGGTTTTGGCCTACTATACCATGCTGGCCAGTATATAACTATTTTATCAGTCAATCTAGTTTTTATAGTAAAAGCTCTGCTTAGTTTAAAACCAGATGGTGTTGTGTGTCAGAGGTCCGAAAATATTATATTATTATTACAATTATAACAACACAGTACAGTCTGTCGTAATTGATTTTACTATGCATTAACTGCCATCATTTTATTAGTCGAAATAGTTCCTCCAAGGTCCTGCTAAGTGTGTGTGGTGTGGTCTGATAATGATTAAGAATACTTGAAATCAACTTTAGTGTACATAAGAACTTGCTGATCAGATTTACATTTTCTTAATCACTATTTATTATTTTAAATGTGCCTTTTATTACAAAAAAATAAACTGGAAAAAATTGTAACCTACCTTAGCCAATTGACTCCACATACTCGCTCCATTGGTTTAATGAGAGAAGGGTCAATGATAAGATCTTTTTTGTCTCCACATAATGATAAAATGCTGTCCAGCTTACATTGAGAAATTAAACATAAAGACGATAATTTTAAAGACAACGGTGGATTCTCCATTGTTTTGTAGCTGCTTCAAAAAACTAAGTAAATAATTATATGAAATTATTTAACTGCATTACATAACCATAACTATATTATGCCGGTGAGTACCTAAGTATTTCTCACTTTTATTCACCTTTTATTGGAATAGTTTACTGTTTACAAATTACAATTCTGAATGACAGAATGACAGATGACAGCTGGCATTGATAAACATAGATAATTCACTATACCTCCTCACGTCACGTCACGTCAACAGCTTTTAATAGTCTACTGCTGGACATAGGCCTCTTCTAAGATAAAAGTTTTTGGCCCACTAAACCACGCTGGCCAGACAGGTTGGTATAGGATTTGTGTTAAGTTTTACTTTTCTTTGCAGCTCTGTTGTCATGCGTAGTTTGCTCCCTTAGTCGGCTCTTACGACACCTACGAGATGAAAAGGGGTGGTGACACTCGTGTATTCTCAATCCACGTGTGGTGACACGGATAACTACACACTATACACCTAGCGGTATTAAAGTGCGACTGTTTTTTTTGTGGACCACCATTCCTTAAACTCCAAAACATATTATTATTACACCATTTAGTGTTTTTTTTGTAAGAGGGGCAACTCAGGTGTCACAAACGCGTTGCCGGCCTTTTAATAAGGAGAACGCTCTTTTCTTGAAGGTCGTATCGGTCCGAAAATACCGCAGACTATCTTGTTCTACAGATTAGTCATACGAGGCAAAAAGCGCACAGTAGCAGAGCGCCAATTATCCAGGTGATGGGCATGAAAATTTTGACGTGTGAAAGTTGGTGGAAAGTTGCGTCCGGTAATTGTCCGAACAATTCCTCGGAGCACTTTCCATGATGCAGAGTGAAGCTACATCTCTACGTAACGCATAAGGATCGAGCCGATCTTAGATCTTTGGGCTGTCGACGATTCAAGTCTTTCTTCGTTGGATACTGACCAGAGGGAGAAGCTGGTACTGAGGTGCCGGAATTTCTCGGGAGGCCAATAGGAAGAGAGCTTCGAGAGAAGCGCCTTATGCCTGACCCGATCGAAGGCCTTCACTATGTTCAAGTCTCTCCCTTGGCCTCGATCGCCTGTGCCTACTGGTGTGTTAGAAAGACGAGACGAGACAGCAGCTGAGTAACCCTAGCGAAAACCATATTGTTGGTCATTGAATAGCTGGTGATCATCTAAGTGCTGGAATTAAGGAATCCATAATCTTAAAGAATAAGGTAGTTATGGCTATAGGCCTTTAGTTGGACGTTTCAGAGCGGTCACCTTTTTTAGGAATCGGGTGCACAAACGATACCCTCCAGGAGTTCGGGACGACGCCTTGGGAGTAGCGTTGGATGCGTTACAACACATACCAACTCCGAAGCTCCTATCTTCAACTCGATGGGAGAGAGTCCATCAGGCCCACTCTACTGGCTGGTTGCACGGGCATTGATTTTTGGGTCAACCGGATTTCCGGCATACAGCTCTAGCACCGTGGTATTTTCGGGGGTACGTTTCTCCTTTCATCCAAAGTGGAGTTGGATGCAAAGAGTTCACCTAGGAGATCGGATTTCTCCTTGGCTTACCTACGAATTATCTCCGTTCTGCAGGGGATTGGCTCCAGAAATTCCACTGGACAGCCTTGGCAAGAGACCAGAATGCACGAGTTCCAGAAGGTTGTATTACCACTCACTCACCAATCCGGCTAATGTCCTCCGATTTCGACCTTGCAATAGCTCTTTTAACGGACCTAGAGGTAAAGTTGTATTGTTTTTTTAGCGTGCTGGTATTTACATCGCCTACCGTCGCTGCATTTTCCCAAGCTTGGTATCGTTCTGGCTGTCGAACCAGGGCCTGGATCTGCCACCGATGGGAATTAATGAAGAAAAAACAAATTGTTTCATTCTCTGGTGCACTACATCAGTGACAGAATCAGCAACGACCCATCCCGGTCCGCTGACCTATGGTGCCATTTTAAGTGTTTAATGTTGAGCTCAGTGACTGTAAGGTGAGGCTGATTTCGAAACCAAATTAATGTATTGTGCCGGGATGCAGGTCCATATTATTTTGCTTTCGAATAGTTTTACATAGTCATTTGGTAAAAATGAATGACAGTTAAAGTCAACATAAATCTCATCAAATTTTATTTTGCGTAGCCGTAGGAAAATAGATATAAAATCACAATAACTACTACCGCCATTTAATAGTGCAAACAGAAACTCTACTCTGTCTGATGTTGTTTTATGCAATAACGACAACAATGAGGTATTTATTTGAAGAAGAAAGAATGCATTAATTATTTCATCCAGAATACTTAGCAACTCCAAAAAACGCTTTGGTAAACTTTTGTATGCATTGGTATTGCATCTCTCTCTGCTCTTTTCACTGATTTGCTATTTTAAAAGTCCTTTTCAGTACCAGCCAATCAGTGCAGAGAGGAGAGAGAGGTGGGAGAGACCAAAACAATATTCTTTCTCTGTTTAACAGCTGTACGCTACCACTTACAGAGAAATATGTAGTTCGCTCTCTCTAATACATTATCTCTATGCATACCCTTCGACTTGGTTATGACAGTTTTACACAGACTAAAATTAAATACTGATTTCAAAATTGCCATTGAAAAATAGGCACTGCAAATTAGTGCGAAACCTATTTCATATAATAGGGAACGAATATCACACACTTATATTATGTAGTAAAAAATCCTAAGGAGAGGCCTATGTACAGTAGCAGACTATTAAAGGCTGTTGATGTGATATTATGTAGTATAAATATATTTTTGGGAATTCAGTCACAAAATTCTAATTTTCTTAACTTTGATAAATACTTTAGAAGTTAGTTAGAATAGTAACTAAAATGCTGCTGCTAAAAGAATAGTAAAAGAAAAATAATACGTTTCAAATGCCCTTGATAGCTATTTCCGGTCATGCGTAGTTACCGCGCTTGCAAATTCTTCCCCTTCGCTCTTCACCCCGCAGTTGTCACTCGTCGAAGTCATACTCTTTGGTCGAATTATCAAAAAATATTGAAATGGCTGCAAGAATTATCAGAAAAATTGTAAGTGTGTAGTTTACGTAATATGATTCGTTAATCCCTTTCGCATGTGATTACAAGTCGCTGAGGCTTCAGTGGCTTTCTACGACTTAACTTAGTTAGTCCAAAAATAGACTAACTATAGTTATGTCGAAGAATTACATAAAAGTGGTATTAGAACCTTTTCGTGAGAGTAAAGTGCTAGGTTCATTACTGAGATGGTTCGACCCGGCTTCTGGTAATTGTTGTAAGGGGAACCAGGAAAGGGGAAATGAGGTTAAGCATTTTTTATTAATACTTTTATTTGTAGTTTTTTGAGGTTACCTGTTTTTATTTTCTTGGTTGTGTTAGGTCCCATCGAGCCGGACTGGCTCAGCACAGTACAGTTCAGGGGTGAGAAAGGTTACCCTAATCCCGGGCCATGGCATTGGTCCCGAGATCACAGTAGCCGTGCAGAAAATTTTCGAGGCAGCCAAAGTGCCAATTGCATGGGATGAAGTGGACGTAACAGCTGTTAGAGTGAGTGTAATTTTTATATTCATTGGTAAACAAATAATCTAACATACATAATTATGTTTTTTTGTTATTACAATTTTTTACCATAGATAAGCAAAATGTTTATTATGTAAAGTAATTGTGATGTATACAGTCCTAAAGACTTTACTAATTAATGCATAAAAAGAAATAGTACCATTTATCAAACAACACAGAAAATAAAAAAAAATATCATGCTTTATTTTTATGAAAGTCTTCAGAATGCTTATTATATTATATAATAAAAATATATATTTATACCTAGCTCTTACTTTAGACTCAAAATATACATGGGTTATTATTATATATTAACCAAGATAATTTATAGTTATTGATATGATATTAAACAATTGTCACGCAACCTCTTACCAAATAGCTTAGGGCCATTGTATATTTCAAAATATATGTCAAACATAAGGTTTAAGATATGTATATATGTTTCCTGAATAGACATAATGGTCCTTTTTTCAAGGTTTTTTAAACATTCATATTGTTAATTAGCAAACTATTTGTTACAAAATATATGCCTAGTAATTTATTATTATTTGTTTGATCATGATTTTATTTGGTTCACATCATTCATAAGCTGGTTAAATTAACAATACCAATTAACTGTCAAAAATTAAAATATAAAAATACAGATCATTATACAACAACCGAATGGCATAGTGGCGTGTCTAATGGACTGCTATTCCAAAGGTTCGCAGGTTCGATTGCCGCTTAAGTCAAACATTTGTGTGCATAATTTGTTGTTAATTGTTGTTTTAGGGTCCGGATGGCAAATTCGGTATTCCACAGAAAGCCATTGACTCCGTAAATGCAAACAAAATCGGTCTTAAGGGTCCTCTAATGACTCCTGTCGGCAAAGGATATCGGTCATTGAACTTGGCCCTACGTAAAGAGTTTGACCTGTACGCTAATGTCAGACCTTGCAAGAGCTTAGAGGGGTATGTATTTCTTATAATTTTATATATAGTAGAAATTGAAACAGTGCCTTTAATTTATTAAAAATACTTGTGTTATGGTTGTTGCTTTTTCCTACTACTAGACCATTTAAAAAGACTTGTTTTTTTTTACTTATCTTTTTAAAAGATAACTTCCATGTTAGGTGTATATCCTGTGTCGCAGGGACTTTACAAACATACATTAAACGGACACAAAGAACACACAAAACTCAGAACTAAAATCTGAACATGTGGGGATGGAACCCACATCACTCAGCGTAGTAGTCAGCAGCATGGCAACCAGTTAAGCCACTACGCGATCTGTGCGGTAATTTGACCAAACTATTATCTCGAGCCGTCATTCTATAAATTTTTGTACCTTGACAGATTGTGCACTTCTGCATATAAACATAAAGCATGCCAAATATGACTCCATGTACCATATTTGTTTATAAAGGGGTACAAAAAATCATGTAAGTTACTAAGTTACTGTAGTTCATGTTTACTAAGTTACTGTGGTTTTGAGTGTTTCCACTGCCTACTCAAAAGTCCTGCTGGCGGTAGTGTTGCTCTTCTGGTTGTTGATACACTCGCAGTTTTCTTTAATGTTTATTGTTTACGGTTTAAAAAAAACACACTGTGGTTTGTTACAGTGTTTCTTTCCAGAGTGAGTCTTAAGCAATGCCAGCGCCTTCTAGCTTTAAGGTCTGACATGTATAAATATCTAAAAAGATTTACCTACAGAAATAAATATCATTCATCACCTGTAGGTGTAGGCACTGCTTTGCAAAATTTCTATATCTTTCTATCGAAAACTTAAATAATTTTAACATTAGTCATATTAGGATAGGATTTTCCCCATTCAGATATTTCTGAAATACAAGGTAAACAGGCTATTTTTTTATTAACGGTGACATCAGAATGCATAGCAATAAAACGTGGGCATATTTATTTAAACCCAATGTAATTGACAATATTTTATGTTGTCACATTTCATTCAAAACTCTCTAGAACTTATTCAGATATGCAAATCGAAGTGAATTGTTAAGGTGGACATATAAAATTCCTTGCCCCGACTGATTGATACATCAATGAATCAATTGACGACCGAATGGCGTAGTGCGACCTTTGGAAGAGCAGTCCGTTACACAAAGTAACGGACTGCTCTTCCAAAGGTCGCGGGTTCGATTCCCGCTCAAGTCAAACATTTGTGTTCATGAACATTTAATGTTTGATTTGGTCTGGGTGTTTATATAATAAGTATGTATTTACAAAAACAAAGTATATCTGTATTTATATCAGTTGTCTAGTACTCATAGTACAAGCTCTGCGTAGTTTGGGACTAGATGGCGTTGTTGTGTGAATGTGGTACAATATTATTATTTTTTTTTTTAATGCATCGCTGGGGCTACAAACTTGAAATTTTAGCAGCTGATGTTTTTTATGTTGTAAGCATCCACCAGGATTTTTGGCAATTTCAGCCTTAAGGGTTTAAAATAAGTGATAAAAAGTTCTATGGAAGTTTGTCATTTTCAAAGTATGCGTAATGGTTAAAGCGGTCGCCACGTCGCTTCCTACTACGCCGAGTGTTGTGGGCTCGATCCCCACATGGGACGACACTGCGTGATCCACAAGCTGTCGTTCTGCGTCTGGTTGTTCTTGGTGTACGTTTCATGTATGTTTGTAAAGTTCCCCGCGTCATAGGATATATTCCTAGTGCGGGAGTTGTCTATTAAATAATAATAATAATAATAAAAAATTATTTTCAGAATTTCTTTTCCATATTTTGTTAACTAATAATTTGCTTACGTACTAATAAATAAAAAATAAAGTTAGAAACAAGAAATGACAAATATTTACGTGAGCAAAACCACGGGCAACAGCTAGTGATAGATAACATTTAAAGTAGCCTTTATTGCCAATTTGTGCATTGGAACGAAGATCGTATATATCATAATTGTCTCAAACAAGTGATTCGTGTACAAAGCAGTTCAGTGCCAATTCTTTGAGTAATTTTTGCATGTGATGTAATTTATCACAAAATTCAGGCTACTGTAATATTGTTTTTTTTTTTCTGAGAAAGTAACGCTAATACCTGATAATTCAGTACATAAAAAGATTATATAACCAAATTTTTAAATTAATATTTTGTAATCTTCTAATATATAAAATTCTCGTGTCACGGTATGCGTGGTTGAACTCCTCCGAAACGGCTCGACCGATTTTCGTGAAATTTTGTGTGCATATCGGGTAGGGCAGAGAATCGGCCAACATCTATTTTTCATACCCCTAATTTTTTTTCAAATAATGTATATGGCAAAACAACGTTTGCCGCAGCAGTGGACTATCAATCGCTGTTTATTGGCATTAAAATCTTACTTGGAAAACGTATACAACGGTAACCACTTACCATTAGATACACTTATGTAAATCTGTTCTATTCACTACCATCCATATGATTATTACGAGTCGAATGATCGTCACACGATTACTTTTATCTAGAAACATCCTTGACTAGGTTATTTCACTTCTTGAATGCGTGTATTAACCTAAATATAACAAAATATTCTTTCGTAAACGTAACATTAATACAATAATATGTTTTTTAATTTAATTTTCTTCCAAGTGTTTGAAAAGAGTCTTCTGTAGACTAGACTTTTTGCATCTCGTCGCAATGTACGAGTATTTATTTTGTTTTTTACATTATTCTGTAAAATTTGATATTTTGATGTAATGTCAAGCGGTCTGCAGCCAATCAGTGTTATTTTTTGCTCCATAACAGTGACGTGGACTTATCTGCGTACCATATTTTATATTACCAAACGTCGTTTTCTGACACTTTTATAAACCAAATGGGATTCTTATACCAGAGGTTCATGAAGCTGAAGCTAGCCGACGGAGCTAGCCGACGGACATAGCCTGCGTAGTATATGGCACGCCCCTCAAATTGAGTTCTTTTTTAAATGAACAAAGGAAGCAAACAGTCATTTTCCTGCATCAAATTACTATACAATGAACCAGGGCCTTTTAAGATTAGAAAAATATATTTCAACAATCATATTAAATGAATAAACGCTGTTTATTAGCGAAAATTCGAGTTTTTCGATGGTAAATTTGTCCTAACTTTTTTCACAAAAATAGGATTGCTTTCTAATTTTGTATAGTTCATGCCTACGTATCGTACAATAATACTAAATAGGTTTTACGTTGGCAGAAAAGTTTTATTATTTATTATTAAATGAACAATCAGACACGACTTACGATAAATTGAACGATTCGACGAAAAATCTGATATAACTCTGTTCACAACAATAGGATTGCTTTCAAATTTTGTAAAGTTAATGCCTAAGTATCATACAATAATACTAAATTACTTTCACGTTGGCAGAAAAGTTATAATTTTTATTATTAAATGAACAATCAGACATGACTTACGATAAATTGACCGATTCGACGAAAAACCTGATGTAACTCTGATTACAACAATAGGATTGCTTCTTAATTTTTTATAGTTTATCCCTAAGAGGTGTACAATAATACTAAATAGGTCTTACCTTGGCAGAAAACATGAAATTAACACAATTAATGAGTAAACGTACGTAACTAACAAAAAATACTGAATTTCGATCAAAAACCTGATGTAACTCTGTTTACAACAATAGGATTGCTTCCTAATTTTGTATAGTTTATCCCTAAGAGTCGTACAATAATACTAAATAGGTTTTACGTTGGCAGAAAAGTTATCATTTTTATTATTAAATGAACAATCAGACACGACTTACGATAAGTTGAACGATTCGACGAAAAACCTGATGTAACTCTGATTACAACAATAGGATTGCTTCTTAATTTTTTATAGTTTATCCCTAAGAGGTGTACAATAATACTAAATAGGTCTTACCTTGGCAGAAAACATGAAATTAACACAATTAATGAGTAAACGTACGTAACTAACAAAAAATACTGAATTTCGATCAAAAACCAGCTGTAACTCGATTCACAAAAATAGGATTGCTTTCAAATTTTGTATAGTTAATGCCTAAGTATCATACAATAACACTAAATTACTTTCATGTTGGCAGAAAAGTTATCATTTTTATTATTAAATGAACAATCAGACACGACTTACGATAAATTGAACGATTCGACGAAAAATCTGATATAACTCTGTTCACAACAATAGGATTGCTTTCAAATTTTGTATAGTTTATGCCTACGTATTGTACAATAATACTAAATAGGTTTTACGTTGGCAGAAAAGTTTAATTATTTATTATTAAATGAACAATCAGACACGACTTACGATAAATTGAACGATTCGACGAATAATCTGATATAACTCTGTTCACAACAATAGGATTGCTTTCAAATTTTGTATAGTTAATGCCTAAGTATCATACAATAATACTAAATTACTTTCACGTTGGCAGAAAAGTTATAATTTTTATTATTAAATGAACAATCAGACACGACTTACGATAAATTGAACGATTCGACGAAAAATCTGATATAACTCTGTTCACAACAATAGGATTGCTTTCAAATTTTGTATAGTTTATGCCTAAGTATCATACAACAATACTAAATTACTTTCACGTTGGCAGAAAAGTTATAATTTTTATTATTAAATTAACAATCAGACACGACTTACGATAAATTGAACGATTCGACGAAAAATCTGATATAACTCTGTTCACAACAATAGGATTGCTTCCTAATTTTGTATAGTTTATCCCTAAGAGTCGTACAATAATACTAAATAGGTTTTACGTTGGCAGAAAAGTTATCATTTTTATTATTAAATGAACAATCAGACACGACTTACGATAAGTTGAACGATTCGACGAAAAATCTGATATAACTCTGTTCACAACAATAGGATTGCTTTCAAATTTTGTATAGTTAATGCCTAAGTATCATACAATAATACTAAATTACTTTCACGTTGGCAGAAAAGTTATCATTTTTATTATTAAATGAACAATCAGACATGACTTACGATA